GCATAAATCATAAATAAATAGTTTTACAATGCAAATTACGGGACAAATGGCACTTTTCTATTTAATTGAGTTGTGATCATCTTGTATATTCAATAAGGGGGAAAGTTAATAACAACGGATGGAGCTCAGTATCGGTTTTTTGGCAAATAATAGTGCACTTGTGCACTCATACAATCAATCTCTAGCTGATCACTTTGATGCACGGAACCTTTTACGATTTTTAATTTGAACACAATTATGAAAAAATTAAATTAAGTAAAATTAAACGATTTATATAACCTGAAGGTAGATAACGCGGTATGTTCTTTTTATTGTGGATTCATTATTATTCGTTGGATACTAATCTTCGTGGATTTCGTGGTTACCCGGGAATCACGAATTCCAATGACCAGCGAATTACCAATTTTTTTCAGGAATTCAAACAGACTTTGGCCAAACCACGAAATCAAATATAAACGACAATGTAAGTTTTCCTCAATCCACGAAAATTGATACCTTCGAAAAAAATGAATCAATAGTGCATGGTGTGAGCATATCAAACAATATGTTCAACGCAATGAAAAAGAATCTAACTTCCTTATTTCTGAGTTTCACTTATAAAAATTTCTCTTCATTTATTATTTATTGAATTGTATTATTTTATGATTTGCAGTAATATTCCTAAAAAAGGCTGAGTGAGAAACAAAAATGAATGCTAAAGATTTTTTTACGCAATTGTTTTAATGATTTCTAATTTTGTTTATTTTTAAATACTTTAAATTTAGAATAAATTAAATTAGTTCTATCTATTGGTTATGTTATCAATAGCTATTTCTTGATTAACAAATAAAAGATAATATTTAATGTTTTCTGAAAAATATAACCAATACTAGATCTATATCAATGAGCTTTATAAAAAAAACATCTGTATTTGAAGTCACAAAGTTAATCAATAACAATAACATAGATAAAACTTAAAACTTATCAAAATTTCAGACTTATCATTTATTTGAAACTGAAAGCATTCCATTACATATTAAATTTTAACATCTATAAAATTAATACTTCTTTTAAGTGTTACATCAAAGTGATTTTAAGGATCTTATACGCAAGATTCATGTGTAAAAATGAAAAAGCACGTCATATGAATTTCATAGTGTAATGTATCATAAAACGCTAATGCAATAAATGTTGGTTTTTTTAAGGATAGATAGTTAACTCTTTCCGCAGTGTTAGTCACATGCATCAAGTCATTCAATAGTGCATACATAAAACGGTATCTGGTTGGTTATGTTGAACATATTATTAACTGGTAATCGTTTTACCACCTGCACAGAGCGTCATATACATTGAATTCAGAAAGTATTTGATCGACTGTTTAATCATCCCGAACGTATCTTCGTCCTAGATGTGCCAACATTAATTATCTTTTATATTGTCTCTAAATTACCTAGTTTCAAAACTTTGAATTGTTCGAAATACTATTTTTTTCTCTTTTTTTTCGCAGATAAGATAATATCAACTGTATTTGGCAAAACCATTCAAACTATTTGAATTCAATTCTTTTTAACTTTTTTTTCATTTGAACGTCTCTAACGAATCTTTTACAGACGAAACGTGCGTCTGGTGTTAACAAAATTAGAACCCTGGTATCTTTGATGAGTTTTTTCACATTTTTCTGCTTTAGAAGGACTACTATAATTAAGTTAAATCCTTAATGTTTTGAAGAACGGTTTATTGAGGTTTCAAAAAAAGAACGATTGATAACCAATCAATCAAATATTGCAAAAAAATATTTCAAATACACTCTGGAAACAATTACCCAAGTTTGAAACAAAAAATGCACAAAGACCGTTCAGTCAAACTTTGTTAACTATGTAAGATTATCTGGTATTTTCTAATGTCCATGCTTAAAAAAAATCTCTTCCATTCGACTAAAATTCAATATCATAGATGTAACTGACAAAATGCAAAATATTAATTGAAGATTTGAAAAAAATATATTAAAGTTTGAACAAAATAACTTGGGCCAATAGTTAGTATATTCATTGTTGAAGTAAATGAAATCATAATATGAATAATCAAATATTTGTATCGGCCTTGAAAAAAAAGACTTAGTTTGGAAAGCTTCCAATAACTCGAACTATATTTTTTTGAATAATGAACCTATTCTTTTCAAGGCTTTTAAATAGAATACATGTCAGGTATTTTAATACAACTCTTCGCAATTAATCATTTTGGACCACTTCCCAATAGATGAATAATAATGAAAAAGTTGTGTTAATTGTGCATGGCAATTGTATATCCAAATATTTAAACCTTTTTTATCTTGAACATTTATTGCGTAAGAGTACTTTGTTTTGTCTATTTTGACTCGACTTTCTATAGACAATTATATCAAAAATATTACAACTATTGATTTGATTTATATTGGTAAAAGGGAAATAACAATAACATAAAATAATGTCCCCTTTTGTATTTGAAAATGGTATCATTTATACGATCAACAACCCTTGAGAAGAAAATATTTATACCACGGAACAAAGTTTAAATATATAAGCAAAATTTTTTCGTCCGAAACTGGCCCGTCAATCTATCAGTCAGAACTTTGATTAAGCCTTGCTTGTGTTTTCATTTTTAAGAAGACTTTCATACATTGTAATCATTGATAGTTTAGATATCCATGCAAAGTTAACAAAAAATGCCTTTCCTCACATTGTTTGGAAGTTTCAACTGAAAAAAGCCTTAGACAAGATTAATAAACAGAAAATCATGAAATGAAAACAATGATGCATGAGAGAAATTTGTAAAATATATACTACATAAGTTCTTGTCCCAGGGATAGGGCCTTCGTCACTTTATCAAATCAACGTCATATAGAGATGTAGGTTTCAAAATCTGGCACAATTTTCATAATCTCAAAATGGGAAATAGTATCTGGAAGGAAACTTACGCAGATTCGCTTCAAATTTGCATGAATGATTCCCAATATATACTAAATGGTTATACTAGTATTTGATGGCCTTACCTGAACATGTGACCTATAGCTCATGGCAACTATGTCATTTGGTCTTTATTGTATAGTTGTCTCGTTGGCAATCATACCGCATTCCCTTATTTTTATATACTAGGTAACTTTAATCTAATCCTTTTCTAAAGGAATAATTCAACATGTTCGATTAGGGTTGAAAACAATAACAAAAGCTGTTGAATCTATTACTACCTAAACCAAACCTCACATTTCAGTGCATTTATGTTCAAAACCATATTCCGGATATTTGCTAGCAATTTAAGAATTATTTAAATTTTTATGTATATTTCATTTCAAATATTTTTCATTGATAGGACTACAAAATTAACAAATTTTTTTTTTGTGTATTATCAATATTGCAATAACTTGTACTTCAAAACATGTCTTTGTTATTTCAATATTACAAGGTTCTATAATTAGAACACAGGTACTCAACTGATAATGTCTGCTAAAGAATCCCATGTGTCATCGACCCCATAGACAGTTATTATGAATAAGTGCATTATTGAAATATATTCAGCAGGAACGATTATGGAAGGATTGAACAAAATGTTGTGATATTTTTTATAAACGTATAGTTTGATAACGAATGCAGTAAAGTTATGATATTTACCCAATCGCAATAGAACTCAGATAACCGAAATGGTAAGCATTTCAGCATTTTGTAGAAAAAATTTTTTTCTGGATACCCTTTAGCAAGGACATTGGTTATTTTACTATTTTAACTTAAAGGTAATTGAAGGATTATTGAACGCTTAAAATAAATCACATTGCATTGTTTTATTTTCATGGAGAGAGAAATTCATGTTCTATAAATAAAGACCCATGCTCTTACGCTGGTTATGTTAATGACATTTATCTGTCTGTCAGAATACGTCAATACTGAACGAACTTCTGATAAAAAGCTCTAATACTTGGTAGAAATAATTGTAACTATATTTTATCGACTGTGCTATAACAGCTATAATGTTAACGGGAGTTGTGGAACTTTGATTAAATTTGTTTAGTATTTGAACAATTACACTTCTCTCACTCCGTTTAATAGAAAGCTATCGTAAATCAAGTTGGTATTTTTTTTTCCAATCATGTGATGTTGATAAGATTAGACCGCCATAATTTCGACCTTTTAATTGGAAATATTGGACTATGACTATTTGATTCAATAATGTGTCATTGGGAGTGAATGCATCTCCTAAGAGACCGTATTACAGAATGGTTTTATACTTGGTAGAGTTGTTTGCCATTACGTGTAGTAGGTCATATGATACCGTTATTATATTCAGACCATTTATTTTATTTTTAGGGAGGGGAGTGGTGGCTGAGGGAAGTATGGAAACTTTACAACTGGTATTTATTAGAATTGTGATAACAACACATGTTGAATGTAATTCCCTGAGATCATTTGCCAGAAAGTTATACTTATGACAATTTATTGTCCTCATATGCAAATGCCATATTATATCTTTATTCTAAAGTGGTATTCGTGGAACGTTTTTAATGGACAACTGACAGCGCAAACTTTAATGTGACCTTGTGACATGCATCTCTCTTATTGCCGTCATGTGAAGTTGACCATATTATACTTTTTTACAGAGCAAACTGTCGTAATTTTTTTTATGAAATGATACCTTTACTTATTGAAATGAAAAAAAAGGAAATAACAGCGCTTTTTAAGTGGTTCTGTTTTTATTGAGTGTTCATAAGGGTGTTGTGTCATGAATGGTTTTTTTTTCGTTGTAATAATTAACGGAATCAGTTTTACTGCAGTAGATTTGTCTTTTGACAATTTATATCTCTTTAGTGATGCGCGAGTCAGAAAAAACTGATGAACTGACATCCTGATAAATACGACATAATGTATAGCATAAGCCAGGGCAAATAATCAGATTTTTGCACTTAGGAGACGTTTACTTAATTCCAAAATATTGTTTAAAAACAATATCCGTTATGTTATCTATTTAAGTAACTTATTCTTGTCTTTTTTATTTAGAGTCGTGTTAAGGAAGGTAACATGGAACAGTTAGAAATAAATGTGCGAAGAGAGTTACCCAGTACCAAAAAACCATACCTGAGAGAAATTGGTGGCATACTTGAGGTCTTCATTCCAGTCAAAGACATTGGATTGCATCAAGTATTGAAATCTTCTAATTCAACCACAGTGCACCTCAAAAGATGTTCTACAAAAGCAAGTGCTGTATTTCAGTTGTCTTTGGAGGACAGAGTTTCAAACAGAAAGGTAGGAAAATACTTTATATTTTTTACAATATTGATGACAAGAGGATATCCAAAATAACTTAGTTAGAAAGTCCAAAACTCTTCGTAAAATACCGAAACTACAATCTACATAAATCAGATCAGAATTCGAACTTAGCATGAATAATTTGCAACGGTGTTACTTTACCTGATAACTCTGTGCATGTGCAATTTTGGATATGAAAATAAAAACAACCCTTATAGATTTCAGGCGTTCGTAGCACTTTCTCAATATATCTTCATTATAAAAGCTGAAAGCCGAATTTGTGGAAGCCAATGATGTAGGAGAACCGAAACAGTTGAAGAGCTATATTACAAAATGAGTACCTGAAATGATACTTAAGCAATCTAAGATCAACCTAGTCTAATAGAATTAAAACCCTAGTTTGTTATTGATTTTTTATATAAATTTATAAATAATAGTTTTAGAAAGGTTAGTTATAAATCATTTCTCTACCAATTTTTGAAAGTACTAATCGTGACTACTGGACAAATCATTTCCTTCGGAATTAATAGTCGACCAGCAGCGGTATCGACCCAGGCATGTAAAAAAATTAATATAAAACTTAGTAAATTTAATACGTCCAAAGCACATTTCTGGAATTACTTTCATAAGGAACGCTCAACACCGAATGTTAATTTTTAAATGATTTTTATGGTTGGCTTTCAAAACTATTGGTTTTAAACAAGCTTCTTCAAGAAACACGTATCATTGGTATTGAATTCATTTGTGATGACGTATGATAGTATTAAGGTAAAGAAAAAGGTTTTTATAATTTGAAATCAGATGTAATGCAGTAAACTATTGAAGAACAATAGATAATGAGGACCCTTGAAATTATCATTTATGAATAATAGAATAGAACCCTCATTTCCTTCAATGGTCTGTCATTAATAAATAGGCTTATACAAATTAAAAGTTGTGGTATGATTGATAATACTATGTATGCAGGTATCAGATAAGAATATGAACAGTTATAGGTCTGGATAAGACCTTCAACAATTAGCAGGAATAATACCATATAATAAGTTATATAAAAGCTGAGATGACTTAAACAATTTCAAAATAAATATGCCACTGCTTGGTTTATACTATAGCATTATAAGTAAACGAAAAACATTTATGGTAAAAAGCAACCAACAAAATTGCAAAGTATTGGACAGCACCAATGACCGAACCAACCACTCGACCACTCTAAGTCCTTAATTGTTGTTTTTTTTGTTGTTGTCTCTAATAGAAGTGGGATATTTAAAGACGTATCGTATCCGTATCTGATACCTTGACGTATCTGAACGTATTTATGGGACATTGTATATATTATTTACTTGTTTAAAAAAAGCCAAGAATAGGGAAATAATAGAGAAAGGGCGATGAAAATTTTTGGTCTCTTTCTTTTGAAATATCTGAATTGTTTTTTAATAAATAAATATTTTAATAATTGTTTAATTGATGTGTAATGTGTGTTTACATACTTGCTTCTTTTATGTCAAAATCCTGACTTAATCACATTTATTGTCCTTATGTTTCTATGATATATATTTACAATACATATAATACAATTATGAAAACATTACATGGTCGACAAGAGAGGCTAACATTTACACACATTTAACAATCACGAGATTTTGTGTCAATCTATATACTTGTATATGTTTTAGCACTCGATATTTAAATCATTAGAACTACCCTGTCGTGAAGTTAAATTATTAAACAAATGCAGTTGAGTACCCTTTTCTTGGTTCAATGCCAAACATGGAACTTTTATAGAAAATCCACAGCCTTTCCCCTTGTACTCTTATATTTGACAATTCGGTGCGTGTTCGATAGAGGATTATTACATGTAGTGCTAGCAATGATTTCATTAAACAAGTTTATCAATAAAGATATTGGTTACAACAAATATAAATATTGACCAATTCAAGTACACATTCTAGGGTGAGTTCGACTTCAGTGACTCAGCACATGGATTTTTGGAATTTAAAGTTTAACTTGTTCATGACTTTTTGGTAAAAAAAAAACGGTAGCACATCATTGACAAACAAGTGAGTAATCTATGTTTGAATGGTTTTAAAATAGTATATTTTACGAACCCTTTATAGCTTGCTGTTCGGTGTGAGCCAAGGCTCCGTGCTGACGACCGTACTTTGACCTATAATGGTTTATTTTTACAAATTGTGACTTGGATGGAGAGTTGTCTCATTGGCACTCATACCACATCTTCCTATGTCTATTAACATCTTATAACGAAAATCTCTGTACTGAAGTCTGTAGATTTTTTTGCAAACATCTTTGGCTTTATTTGCCACAAAATCCCTATTTTCTATATAATGCAATAAACACATAAATAATATTTCTTTGAATGAAGTTTCCATTTGGAATATGTACGAAATGACAGATCTTTTTTATCTTTGCTGTTTTGATATTGTTTCACCTTGAACATTTCGTACTACACAGGCCTACAGAAGGGGTCATAAACCTTAATGTGAACAACACCATATTTATACACGTACTGTATTACTTATAAATGGAGACTGAGACTGACTACTAATACCAATAGCAATACATTTATAAATTAGCAGGCAATTCTTTTTTTCCAAACACAAAATATGAAAGAGACCGAAAATATTTTCATCACCCTTTCCCTATTTATTCCCTCTCTTTTCCCTATTCTGGATATTTTTACCACGATTTTTGACTCAATCATTACACCCAACATCATGACAGTGGTTACAAAGCAACTTGTCGAAATCAATTTTATTTTGAATCAGTAGCCCACAGCTTCCGCAATAAAGTACATAACATTTTGATGTTGATGTAATTGTGTTCTAAAACTATAACAATGTCATTATATGAATTACAATGTTTCAACTACAATCGCACGAAGGTCTTTATTATAAAGGACAGTTGATTGGATAAAAGGGATGGATTACCACGCCTATTATAAACTGACTTCATATAGCTGCAAGTATTCGAATTTGATTTTTTTTTAAATATTGATATCTCTTATAGTTTCAGTATTAAACATGAAGTTCAACATATTATGGCGAATCAGTGCACTATGTGTTTCAATGTAGCCGTGAAATATGGGACTACGTATTTTAACGTCAGACAAACTTGTGACTTCATATTCGATTAAGTAATTTCAAAAGGGAGAGGAATGCCCATCGATTAATATAGAGGGACAGTAGAAAATAATAAAATTAGTCCATTACATAATGCAATCTCGATTATTCTAAAGCTCAGATATAAACGAATATGTTAATTTATTATTGTGCAGTGTTTTAGTGTTATATTTAACATTGCCATAAAAGTGCGAGGTTTGGCTAGCCACAAAACCAAGTTCAACCCACCATTTTGTTCTTAAAATGTCCTGTACCAAGTCAGGAAAATGGCCATTGTTATATTATAGTTCGTTTCTGTGTGTGTTACATTTTAATGTTGTGTTTCTGTTGTGTCGTAGTTCTCCTCTTATTTTTAATGTGTTTCCCTCAGTTTTAGTTTGTAACCCGGATTTGTTTTTTCTCAATCGATTTATGAATTTCGAACAGCGGTATACTACTGTTGCCTTTATTTATTAAACGATCAACAGGGAATGCCACATTGCATTTAAAAAATTGATTGCAAAAATTTTATATGATTAGATATCCTTGCCATCTGTTGGAAGTGCAGTTTCGACACTTTTCGTGCTTGTCAAGAGACAATATTTAAGGGGGTTTCGATTGTTAATCTCATAAAATCAAATAACCAATATATGCCATCTCAACCTGAGGAAGAGTGGCACATTATTTTCTAGCAATGTTTATCGTTTGTTAGATCATAGATATTAAAGCCAATTATATCTATGGTTAGATGTTGTACTTTCAATGCAATTTATAAACTTGTTAATTGTTATATTTCTATTCAGACTTTCTACATTTTATCAACCGTTAGTGAACTATTTTTGAAGATTACGAATCCCTGGCTTCATTTCACGTTAAACGCAAAATAAATTGAAATATTCTTTGTTTGTTTAGAAAATACAGTTACTTGTGTGTAAAATAATTTTAATGCAAGCTTTTTGAAAGTATTTGATAGCACGTACGCCCATTCATGAGGGCGTGACAAATTGTCACTCATGTCCAATCAACTTTTCTGTTGTACAAAGTTTGATGTGCGGTTCTGTTTGAACAGATTTGAGATTGCAATTGTTAAAAAAAACGATGTAAAGGATTTTTTCAAATACAGGAAGTTTAACATTTAAGGCTTCTTTGTTAAAAATAATGAGTTCTAAAATATTGTTTGTAAATCTACCTGATACAAAAAGACATATAGCACAAGGTTATACAATTGTTTAACTAACTTCCAAAAAAAAAGACACATAAGATTTCAGAAGGAAAGTGTCTTTTCTCTATTATGGTAAAGACATGCGAAAGGGGAGTAAACGGAAAGGAGTAGGGACATTAAGGCCCGGTTTTGCCAAAGAAAGTAAAATGTTTGACAACTATTTCAAATAGGAACATAATGTTTGGAAATGCAAAGGTTCAACAAATATAAATGGAAAACATAAAGATTTTTATCTGTCTTCACAAAAAACATTATTTCTGTTGTGGAACATCGTGCGCAGCCAAGAAACAACAAAATAGTATAAGAGAATGTAACCATTATAACTATTGACGTAATCTCATTAAACATAAAGTTGTCTCTTGGGTGTGCAATACTTTTCTTATCTAAACTTGACCTAAAATTTAATGGAAAATAAGGAAAATCAAGAAAGTTTACAAAAAAATTTGTCATGGTTTTGTTGGCATGGTATTTCGTGCAATGTGAAATTTGATTTTCTTTCCTGAATACATTGAACCTTAGTCTAGTTTGGACAAATTTAAGAATATGTATGATAACTTTTGAATTAGCAGTAATATTTTGGCTGAATAAAGGCCTTATTGCCTCTATTCAATCCTCTAAAGTTTAAAATAACTGATCGTGTATTTAAAAATAACAATTGATTGATTAATTGGTGTGTGACACCATATAGCATTTGTGTGTTTTTTAGTGTTGGTCAGTTGTTTTGGCAGAAACAGGAATGCCCGGAGAGAACCAACGACCTTCAGTTGGAAAACTGACCTAGTCAAAAATAGTAGTGCATATCAACAATACTTTCTAGGATATAATTTTGTACGCAACCTCATTATAAAAGTTGCACAGTTTTAGTTCTTAAGGGAGTTCTTATGGAAAATTGCATTTTCTGTATTTGTATAAGTGCAACCTGAAAGAAAGGCATTGTTATGCATTATCTTTTTCTTAAATTATTGCATGAAATATTTCAATTTGAACATATATTAGATATGTAAAGTGACATACATTTCAAGTCGGGAACATTAACAAAATTACACGCTGTATATCAATTTTGAAAAACAGATTTGTATTTCTTTATTTTAGTTAGTAAGGCAGTGTCGATAGTAACATAACTTGTTTGGTTTTCATAAAATTTGTCAAACTTTCTTAGCATGTAGGTTCTGGCGATTTTTGATAATAAAAGAGATAAATATATTATTTTTTCGATTTTTCTATATAATTCAACGAGCCTATCTAAGATGCAAAATTTTACAAAAATCTGTACATAGCCCATTTACTGTTCCTTGACCTTAAAACGATACATTAACCCATCTTAAAAAAAGAAATGTTTTCAAGAAAACAAACAAGTTCTTAAAATTTACAAACCAGAAATTGTGTTTTGTCTCTATTGCAAATAAATTCGACGTTTGTATTTTGTAAGATCACTTAAATCAATTTAACTAAGACATGAATGAAATCACGGTCAGGTAATATATAAAAAAAGTATAACTGTGGATTCAATTATTTTCGTGGGTTTCAATCTTCGTGGATTGATGAAACCTTGTATTTTCGTGGACATTTAATTTTGTGGTTTTGCCGTATTCTGTATTCGACCTTATGGAAAATCTGTAATTCGTTGAACATTTAAATTCGTGGTTCACCTGTTCCCACGAAATCCACGAAAATTGGCACCCAACGAACAATAATGAATCAGCAGTATTTATTTTTAACACAATACATGTATCTCCTTTATTTTTTCACTAATAAATAATGTTTTTCTTTTTCTTTGTAGCCATACCTGACTGTGCACTGCTCGTTAGAAGAGACAATATGTCATGTACAACTTAAACATTGTCAGACAAAAGGTAGGAAATTAAGAGTTACTGCAGATAAAATTTCAGTTGCACCAAAAGCCATGACATGTGAACGTCTTGAACTTGAATGTAACTTAAATATGGTTGTTCACAGTATAATGGTGTGTCCGTATATATCACTGAAAAGTAATCATGAAGTTCGACTTTCTGTAAGCGCCCGTCTGAAAACAGAAACACTTAAATTAGCAGGCAAAACGGTCTTCATTGATGGTCAAGTCAAATACCACAGACACTTTCAAAATAAGATGACAAACGAATCCAACGGAAATGGCAATATACTTGGTGTGCACGTATGTGGCTACTTACATACTGGTCGAGATAGTGTTATGCAATGTTGCTGTCGTGATCATAAATCGAAGAATATAACAGGAACATTACAGCTTCACGTTGAAGGAGACATTTGCAACCATGGTACAATTGAAGCTTCGGAGCTAATGGAAGTAAAATGTAAATCATTATTATCATGTAGGAAATGTGACAAAGATACAGCAAACCGTTACTTATCGAGCATTAAACATAAACATTGCACGGATGAACATGACATTTTGCTTCCTTCAAATATACAATTGGGTGATGCCGTCAAAAGATTGGATACAAAGCTCATTTTTGTGATGCTTAAACATGGATTTGATCCTTATTCACCGATTGAAATTAAAGGTGCAACACTAACAAGTACCACAAAAAAGCTTCAGTGGGAAATGTTTTGTCCACAGGAAAAGTACGACAATGATTACACAAATTTAAAATTGCAGGTGGACAACTTTGTATCACTAATTGAATCATGGAACAAACAGCGAGGTTCAATTATATCTCCCGAGATATCATTTAAAATGTATGGTGATTTTGAAGATTTAAGCCAGGTAAAATGCAAACAGATTTTTCTAGAAATAAATGGGAACATATGTGTAGAAAATGAATCTATTTGTACTTTAGGATGTATATCTGGGATATGCAAAGGTGATACCAGAATTAATGGACAGATGAAATTGGGAAGCTTCGAATCTTTTGAGACAAATGACTTTAGCATCTATGAAACAGGTTCACTTATTATCCAAAATGGTGGCAATATCTCAGTTGACAATTGTTTTCATAATGGATCCTTAGTTTACAACTTGAACAACAAGTTAAGTATATATACTGGAGTTTTCCAACAAGAAAATGAAAGTCAAATAACATCACAGGAAGATTTAGAAATTGACATATGTAAGGAAAGTCGAATTGTTAATGGTTCTTTTGACGCAAGGGACTTGTATTTAGGTATTTCAGCTCGAGTTACTGAATGGGCTGTTATCAAATCTATGAATTCCTGCACATTAGAGTTTAAAGAAAATAAGAACACAAAGGAATACGGAAGTTTGAATCACAAAGGATGTATTGAAGTTGACAATGGGCATGTCCTTATGTCTTCAACTGCAAATGTGTATGATGTAAAACTTGCTAATTCAGAGTTGGTCATTCAAGGAAAAGGAGAGTTTTACAATCGAACTGGTGGAATTTTACAATGTACACATGGTCCTTTAAGAATTCAAAATGTGTGTCTTCTCGCAAATGAATCGGGAGCGTCGATATTTGGTAAAAGTATCAAAATAGCTACAGCAGTGGTTGGGCACAAAACAGACACACTTTCTAAAAAACACGACCTAAAGAACAACGGAAAAATCAACAGCCCTGGAGTTGTGAAAATATTTGCTGGTAATTTGAAAAACCATGGTACAATCCAAAGCCATTATTCACAAGTAGAAATACACTATACGACAATGAAAAATGTAATCACAAAACTAGAAGGTATCCTTCTATCCACAGAAGGTTTGACTGTTTTTGTTCACAATGCCCCAACATTTCATTGCAGTTTTCGTGGTGGATCAGATTTGCGGAAGTCTTCAATTAGTTTACCAAAGAAAGGAATGTGGATTAAGTGCACCCGAGGGACTGTATTCTTTCATAATGCAATAGAAGGGGATGCTCAACTCCTTGTAGAGTCGAAAAAGGGATTTGTTACTCTTAACCACATAACAATTACCATTCTTTGTTTAGAGATTACAAACGTATATGAATTTACGAACAAGGAAAACAATACGGACCCCCGTCATCGTCAAGAAATATCAAACGAATATGAAGTTTTATATGATCGAACAAATATGGAGAATCATACAGTTCTCCATCGTCATCCAGAGATAGCAAACGGACATGAGGTTTTATATGATCAATCGGAAATGGAAAATTATACAGAATTTAGACAGGATAAACATGCATATATCAACATTTTAAATAGAAGCCTCCTCAGAACTGAATATATGATTGTTGAATCGAATTGTAAAACCATCGAAATTGAGGTGCGTACAAATGGGGACGGTGAAATGATTGTCAGACATGATTTTGTATGTGAACCCGAACTTACCATAAATGGCCGTTTTACAATGTCATCTTCATCTCTGATAACAGCTGAAAAGATGATAACAACGGAAAGATCTGTATGCAAAATAAATGGAACCAATTCAGAATTAAACGAAGAAATATGTAAGGTGAAAACGTCGGGTAACATTGAATTGAAAGGGCATATTCATTGTGTGCATAATGATCGATCCGTCCCATCTCTACTAGTTGTGGAAAGCCAGTGCGGAAATATAACAGTCATGGGGATTGTACAGGTTCCAAACTTGAGACTTCTGACAGGTCCAAGCCAAAAACTTATCATTGAAAGCCAAATGCATCTTGATGGCTATGTTTGCATCGGAGGGGCATGCGAAACAACCATTGATGAACTTTCAAACATTGTATGCCATAAGCTTATCTATCAGCTCACGTCAGAAAAATCAGAGACGAGAAAGATTCATCTAGATTTAAACGGGTCAGTTATAGTACATGGACCAGTAAATCTTGATCACATTGATGATATAGTAATGTTTGGAACTTTGTCATGTCATGGAATGTCAGCAAAAAATGCTGATGTCATAATGACAACGTCATCCAAGACTGAAATATATTATTTCGAAGAAAGTGTAGAGGAAATAACAAATTCTTACCAAATACTTACTTTAAATAACCTATTTACAGAAAAGGAATCTCAAATGAAGCTTCATTCTGACAATGAAAGAATAATTCCATCATTGATTATTTCTAAATGGCAGCATCATGGAGATCTAGAGGTTAATGATTCCGGATCAAGTAAACACAAACATGCAGTCAGATGCCAATGTTCAAACTTTTTCAACCATGGAAAGTGCGTAAACATTGATTCTTTATACCTTGATTGTGACAATACGTTATCAAACTTTTCATCCCTTTCAGTAACAGATGTTCTGGACATCAATGTAGTTGAAAATATCATAAACAACAAAGGCGCAAGGCTGGAATGCACGAATGGACCTCTTTCAATTAGTACAAAAGCAGATATAGTTAATAATGGCATATTGATTTCAAATGATGTTAACAAAATCTGGGCAGCTATCATAACAAATGCAGGTATCATCGAAAGCTATAAATCGACAGTAGAACTAAGTTGGGGCTCTAAAGAGAAGGTATCCATAGATGGAAAAGTTAAATCTCTATTCGAAATACAATTTTCATCGCCTTTCTCTAAGGAGTTTCATTTTTGCTGTAGTGGTGGTATGTCGAACGATTCTGACAGATTTGTTATACCTGCAAATGGTATAAAATTAAAATGCACCAAAGGTTCTGTAGTTTTGAAAATGGACATTGAAGGCAGACAAAAATCAGCAAACGTATCAGTATTGTGTATGGATGGCTGCAAAATGCACAAGAATTTAACCACTAGTGTATTCCATTTAGAAAGAACCTTTGGAGATGAAAAGATGTTAGGTAATCAGAAACTTACTATTGACAGCCTTAGCGAAACCAAAGCTGTGTCTCCAGATTTTTATTTGTGGTTAAAGGAAGACTGCACATTCGTGTCGAGAAATCTAAAGGCACAGACAGGAAGTCAAAATGTTACGTTTTTTATTAGAACAGATGAGTCAAGTAAACTGGTATGTTATGAACAGATTTTGAACCTTGATAGTTTGTTATTTATCCAAGGAAATATTGAAATCTCTTTTTACTCTCAAATACGCGCAAGAAGTATATCTCTGGACAAAGATTCAATTGTTAAAGTGTTTGCTGAAGAACAAATTGATCCAAAGTGTTTTCTTTTTGAACCCACAACAACCGATAACAACGAATGCAAGCTACTCTCTGAAATGGATATTGAAATAGATGGAAACATTTCTTCATTCAAAGATGATCAAATAAAGGCTAGCATTATTAGCAATTCCGGTGATGTCATTATAAAAGGAGAGGTAGATGTGCCTCACTTACAAATTGCAGCTGCTGTTGACAAATCCACACATTTTCACGGTATGGTTAATACAAGTGGTCGGCTCTATTTGAGTCGTGGGAGAATAATTGACATAGATGATCATGCAGTTCTTCGGTGTAAAGCTTTTTCTTGTGAACCGAAAATGAACAAGAGTGATAGACTAGCAGTTAATGGACAGCTTCATGTAATGGGATCTGCTCACTTTGTAGTAGAATCATTGTATATTTCAAGGGGAGGACAAGTTGTTATCATATCAGAGAATTCCAAAGACCATGTGGTTTTAGAAGATGTGAGTACAGTTGATATTAAAGGACGATTTGAATGCCGTATACAGGGTGACTGTTTGGTAGACTGTAAACGAAGCCTTTCACTCTCAGAAAAATCAGTCTGTTTGTTTTCCGTCGGAGAGTGCAATCTGATCGCTTCTGAGATCATCAGAATGGATGACACTTGCAAAATAGAATTAGAAAAAGGGAAGTTATACATAGGTAATGCCAGAGAAGAAGATACAACAATTCATGGGAGTGTTGAGCTTAGTGGTATAATTTGTGGTAAAAAAACAGATACAATGGTAGAAATCGAAGGACACTGTGTTTCTTTTAGAAATTTTAGGATTCAGGATATCCATACCGCAGACTTATTTGCTGCACAGTCATTGTTTGTTGATTCCAACAGTAAAGTGTCAAACGTTGAGAAGTTGGAAATACAAGCAACATCAATAGATTTAAAGGGGCTAATAAAAAATACACCAAGGATAAAAATACTGGCTGAATCATCGCTTCTAATAGATAAAGAAAGCAAAATTAACAATGACAATCAACAAAAGAGCGAACTATCTTTGCAAGTCACAGCGACAACAGTAGAAATGAAAGGTCATATTCAATATTTAAAAAACATAGACGGCGAAGCAAAAATGCACTTTGATGCTAGCAATATGCTTATTATGGGTAAAATCAACAGTGAAGGTGAGATTAAAATTGAGGCAGACTGTTCTTTTGTCAATAATGGACAGGTTCGTTGTACAAAAATTGGAATAGTGGCTCCCATTTGCCTAAATTGTCCACAAAATTTTGACAAATTAAACGTGGAACACATTTCCCAGTTAGGAGGAGAAAATCAGAAAATACTTGTTATTGAAGGTCTTCTTTGTATTATTGTAGGTTCATTTCTTCATTCGAAATCAATTAATATCAAATCCGTACTTAATTTTCAATTCTCAGCGAAAATGTCAACAATCCCTCAAGCAGGTGACCTAGAAAGATGGAAATCGGTAGTTGATTCTTCTTTATCAAAGATTTCGATGGCCAATACTCCAGAGGATATTCACAAATTGACAGAACAAACAATCAAGATACAACAAGTTATTTGTGATCTGAGTGTTTCATCACATCTGTGTGAAGACGTTGTAAAAATATGCGAAAAAATTTCGAAGGGGGGCTTAGGACAGTTTGACATGAATGAAATGATCACATCTTTAGATAACGCACACAGTTTCTACTCAAAAATAATTCCCTTGGAACTCAATGTTGACTTCGTAAGGATTAAATATCGAAGTCTTAAAAAAAGAGGCAAAAAAGTGGCAAAAAATCTTATAAATAAAATATTTGGACCAAACTCGTTCAGCAAAAGCTTGGAGTTTCCACAAAATAATCTTGATCAAGGTATACGAATTGATTCTTTTATAAATGAGGGCAAACATACAGATATTCGTTCGGATGGATACTTATTCTTTGCATCATTAAAATTCCAGGGAAGAACAGGACTCTGGAAAAATGACGGCTATATTGAAGCATGCGGGGATATAATCATATCCGCAAGCAAAATCAAACAACTTGGTGGGCAAGGTCGGATTATGAAAGCAATAACAGGAAGTATTAGATTAACAGGTGACAATGCTGAAGTTAAAAACCTGGAATCAAAACATTTACATGTTGATGTAAGCCAGGAAGCAAATCTGCAATCAATCAAAACTGAAGGACAGGCAGTTGTTCAAGGAAACAATGCAACAATACAAAACATCGATTCTAAGACGCTTCACGTAAAAGCACAACAAGAAGTACAAATTAACACAGCAAATATTCAACAAGACATGTCCGTGATATCTCAAAGAATAGCTGCAGGTAATGTAAAATCTAAACAACTTGATTTAAAGGCAATAGAAAACATTACATTAGATAATGTTTCTACAAAAGAAATCGCCACTTTGGAGAGTGGAAATACAATTAACGCTAGAAATATAAAAGTGACAGAATTAAACACTACTAGCAAAGGTAACACAGACTTTGGCGAAATAAAAGCAGATAAAATGGATGCAGTATCAAAATGTGGCAACATCACATTACATGAAAAAAGCAAGGTAAAGGAGGCAAAACTAGAAGCTAAGCATGGGGACATTTCTTTAACAGGTAACAATAAAAAGGCAAATCATGAGTTTGGATGCTTAACTCTGAATACCCGTGCACTGGAAGATATAAACAAATTACTAAATAGGTCAGATGTTTACAAAGACTTGAAAATAGCTGATCATTTGGGATTAATTGTTGAAGATCAGAACGTCATCATTGCAACTCAACAAAAATCTCAATTTAGTTTGTCAATAAAAGCAGCAAGTATTGATGTAAGAAAGGGTATGGATGCAAAGAATCTTGAACTAGCAACAACTAAGGGAATCTTGAAAATTGACAAAAATGTTAAAATCAAAGCAAAAGAAAACGTTCGTCTGACATCGAGAGGAAAACTTCATTTGTGTGAAAGATCTTCTGTAAGTGCTGGACAAAATATCAATTTGGAGTCAGAGAAGGATTCAGTTTCCTTGTCTGCTAGTGAATTAGACGCCGGTAGTGGTATGAAAATAAAAGCTCATCATGACATAATTATTTCATCAGACGCAAATGGAGGACCTTGCGAAGGGAGTAAATTGAGTGCTGGAAGAACAAATAAAGAACAGTCCGCAATAGACATTGAAGCAGAACGAAAAATCAAAATCCATGCATCTGACATCAAAAGCCAAGGGGAAAATACTTTTAAAGCTGGAAACAACATATCGATTACGGCGAACAAATACGAAACTACAAAAAGAAAAACAAAATCATCCTGGTTTGGACTTTGTAGAAGTACCACAGAAACTACCATGACACATGTGGAAAAGTCTACAATAGTTGGTAGGTTAAATGTGTTCAAAGCCGGGGGAAGCTTTACAAGTGTAGCCGGTAATATAAAATCAGAATTTGGAAACGACATTCGTGCCACAGGAGGAATATCAATGCTTGACCTTCAAACCACGACAAAAACGAAAGAAACTTCATCAATTTTGGGCATAAAATACTATCAAAAGGATGAAAGTTCGCAACAATCACAAGGGACATCACTAGAAGATTCATCTTCTGAAGCGAGAACCTCTATAATATCAGAAACATCTAACATTGAATGGCAAGGAAGCAGTCTCAATTCATCTGGTAATGTTTCAGAAATTGCAGAAATGGGGAAAATAACGCATTCACGTCGTCTTTTAAATCACGAGACTAATGAAAAGGGGATCAAAGTTTTTACACAGAAATCTACAAAAGATAAGGAGAGAAGTTTTGGAATTGAAGCAATTTATGAACGTGGAAGTAATCAAACAACAAGCACTGATTCGACTAATATAGGCGGTGATTATACTGTGAAGGCTAAGAAAGTGAATGTTCTGAATTCAGCGAATATAGATGTGAAAGGTAATATGAATGTTAGGACTGATGATTTGAGAATAGAAGGAGCTTCACTTGAGGCTAGTAATAAACGTGTCAACATAGGTATTGGAATTGAATCAAGTATAGCAACAGTGAGTGCAAACTATGAAAAAGGCGAGCAAACAACACAACAGATGCAGAAACTACACGTTGGTGGGACACTGCATTTGGACAATGTAAAAAATGCCACAATTGATACTTCTAATATAGATAGTGGTGGCTTGACAGGTCAAGTGGACATCCTGGATATACAATCTCGCCTTGATAGAAAGTCAGGAGTGAAGCTTGGTTTCGCAGCTGATATAGACCTTGTGACACGGTCTCTATGTGGAGGAGGAATTGATATTGGCCTCGAGGGTGATGAGAGGATAACTCAGCCAACATCGATTGATGTCAATGGAGGAAGTAAGGAATTGAGTGTTGGAACTTTAGAAACAAAAGGTGCCTCCATTGTTTTTGATGGAGATGTTCACAAATTTGCACAAAATATAGTAAGTCACAGTGTCCACGAGAAAGCATATGAATTCAATCTTGGATTCAGACTCAGTAAACCAAATAAAATGTCAAAAAGAAAAAAGAAACTCGTTGGTAACATAAATTTTGCAAAGGGACAATATCATTCATGCGTAGCATCTACAACTGGCACAGTAGATTCATTTGTGGCTAAACAAGTTGAAACTGACCTAAGCAAACGTAGACAAGTGGATCAATCACTGTCGTTTTCATTTTCTGCCGAATTCGAAGGAAAAATATCACAACACATAACAAGAATTGGAAAAGATCTAGTGAAAGCTGTAGGAAAAGAGGCAATACAGGAAGTAAGCCACATTCTTGCTACTAAATTAGGTATACCACAAGACATAATAAACAGTTTAGTATGTATCGTTGAAGGAGGAATAACACAGGATAAAATATTTGAGTTCCTTAAAGCAAATCTCGATAGTTTAAAGATTCCAGGTCATTTTTCTGCTGTGTTACAATCTTTGCTGGTTGATGGCAATCCAGAGAATCTCATTTCATGGATTTGCGATGCTGCAAACATTGATAAAAAACTTTTTGTGGCAATAATAGGAATCGTTCGTGGTAAGACGATTAAAAGAGATGACATATTGACAATAGTTAAGCATACTGGAAAATATTTTGGTTTGTCCGAAGAACTTTTCCAATTTATAACCATCATAATATCATCATGTGACAATAAAAGGCTACAACAAAATCAGTGGACAATAGTAGAAGCTTTTTTCAAGAGTAAAGAGGGACAAAGAATAATCAAGGAAGTTCTGAATGCAATGCATATTTCAGAAGAAATAAATGACTTCCTTGCCACTATTCTAATCAAACCAAACAATTTTGAAAAGGCCATGTTTTGTTTACATGCAGTTGGACAAAGAGTCGGTATTTCGAAAAGTATTCTAGAGGTTTTGAAAGACATGTTGCAAGGCAAAACGAATACAACCTTAGTAAATATGTTATGCAACGCTATTGGTCTAAATACCAATCTAACGGCAACTATAGAGTTGTCGTTGAATGACTGTTGCAATATGAAATCTGCAGTTATATCTTTTATAACTTCTCTATCAACTCATATTGGGCTGTCATCCGATATGGCCAGAGAAATAAAACATATCATTGACGGCAATATGCCAGAATGTGAAATCCAGACATTCGTCTTGGAAATATGCATCCAGATAAGTAAGTCATCTGTAATTTCAAAGGAAAATCCTGTCACACAGGTTTTTGAAAAGCTGTTACCTCTAGCATCGGAGTCAGCAGGACAAATAACAAATGCCATAAATCTTGGAAAACAAATACTACACGGAGAGATTCCAACGGCAGGTATCCCACTTCTATTATTTTTATTGCGACATGTCAGAGTCGAAGGAGATACCATTAATGCAATCAAGGATTTTGCAAAAGAAGGGAATGTTGATGTACTCATCGCATGGCTGTCAAAAAAATCGGATGTCAATCAGTCTGTTCTCAATGTGCTTGGAACAACTATCATGAATGACTGTAGTGTTATAAGTATTTTCAATGTTATCTTTATTACTTACTCCAAAAAGCACGATCTTCATCCGGCCATCAGAACAGATTTAGAACTCATAATGAACGCGAAACCGCCAGAACAAAAACTAAAGGAAATACGTTACATCTTTGACCAAATTGAAGATACGGATAAAAGATCGACTGTTTTCACAGAATGTAAAGCATTTGGTGCTGATGTACAAGTCTCTAAACTTATATGGAACTTACTGCAAGCTGGTACTCCCGAAGACATGATCTGTCAGTGTTTTATGTCAATCGCGATTGACTTTGGTCTCCCCGAAGGATTTGTGCGTGGTGTTATTGAATTAGATCAGAAGAAAGATTGTGCTTTGTTAACTTCATGGATTACAGAAGCAGCAGGTACAACAGGTGAGCTTGTAACATTTGTCTTAAATTGTATTGTAAAACGCAAACTAGACTATACCAGCCTAGTTCCCGTAATCAGTAGCATTGGTCGAATGATTGGACTGTCCAAGAATAAGCAACATCTTTTGGAATCGATTCTAGAGGGAAACATTTCAGTAAAAGATATTGGAAAGTTGTTTGTTCATATGCTGTTTACGATTATAAAACCGTATATCCCAGCACTTGCCAATGGATTTGGCATTCCACCTGACATTCTTGTTAGACTTGTTGATTTAGAAGACCCGTTTGATCCGTGTGAACTTTTTCTTGCTGTGGCGGAAATCGTCAGTGCAAAGATAGGAATACCGTTGGAATTGCCAAGGTCAATAAAGTCCATTATATTTAAAGGCGACTGTGAACCTATATCTGAATGCTTAGGAAAATGGATAAACATTGACTCAAAGCTGCTACTTACAATTTTACAGACCATTCAAAAAGAAAAAAGTCAAACCACGTGGCTAAAAAAGATTCCTATTTGCATCGCCAAATACTACAACATATCAGAAAAAACTATTGAATGTTTTCAGAGTCTGTTGAACGGAAAAACACCATTATATGATACAAAAGAAACTATAGTTGCAATTATACAAGATACGTTGAAAATATTTATTAGTCAGGAACAGTTTGACACTTTGTTGCAATTGTTTGAAAGAAGATTAGGAATTTCAAAAGAATTTCTATACATAGTAACAGATCTGTTGAAAAATGATAAAGAAAAATTGAAAATAAAAATAATCCAATGGGGATGCAAGAACTTTGGTATCGATGAACGCATAGTGCCAATTATACTCAAAATATTTGATTGTGAAAAGAATTTAAATTCAGTGGTTGCTGAAGTTGTGGGTGGTATCGGAGAGTACTTCGGCATACACTCAGCTATCAGTATTGACTTGAAAAAAGTATTGACTGGACAAAAACCTAAAAAAGCTGTCCCATCTCTTATATTAGAGATTTTTCTACAAGTAGCTAAATCAGTTGAAGCTAAAGCAGAACTAATCGAATTGTTGGAGACCATTAAATCCCTAACACAGACACCAACGAAGCAAACTGACAATAATGTTATATTAGATAAATTAAAGCTGTACATTCCAATGATTTCCGACGAACTAGCAATTCCATCCGATATCATTGAAAGATTGGTTGTTATGCGATATCCATTCAAACTATCCGATCTAAGTTCTATTCTCATTGAAATTTTGACAATGAAGGCAGGCGTATCACAAGACATTCTACAGGCTGTCCAGGTTTATGTGTTCAAAGGTGAAACCAATCTGTTGTGTCGATGGATCAGTGAACACAGTAAAATCGATAAAAAGTTAATTTCGTCTATTTTAAAATCTCTCTTGAATGAGAAAACTCTACTGGAAGGAATGGGGAAGATTCATATTTGCATTTCTCACCACTACGATTTTTCAACGGAAACCATTGGTTTCTTACAGAGCTTAGTCGACGGAAAGATACAGAACTGTGATATAAAACTTATAATATATGTACTTAAAGACATGAGTAAACTTTGTTTGGATAAACCCAAACGAGAAATATTTGACACGTGCTTTGCGATCATGGAAACTCCTGACTGGTTGGAAAGGGTCTTTTTTCTGTTACGTTACTTTTCAAGTCAATTGGACATCCCGGAAATATATATTGACGGTTTTAAAGACCTAGTGAAAGATAAAAATATTTCAACACTTGTTGAGCACTTAGCAGTTAAACTTGAAATCGACAAACGAGTTTTGCTAACTCTTGTTAATGCCTTAAGGAATGGGGAAAGTCCTAAACAAATATTCAAAAACCTTGCCAAAATCGCTGGAGTTCCCACTCCTGCAGTTGATATAGTTATTGAAGTTATAAAGCAGCAAGGTTTGAAAAATAAGACAGACTTAGCTTCCTGCTTTACAAAACGTATTAAATGGCCGGACACCATTAGAGCCATAACAGTGAAAGCATAAGTAAATGTGCCGAATATAAAGAAAACCTTTACAAAGATATTTCAGTTTTATTTAAGTGTTTGTTATTGTATAACCCTCCGAGTAAAATCTTGTACTTTTTTTCAATTTAGATGTAATGTACAGTTATTCACAAGCATATTTTATTTTGTCTTTCAAGTTCATCAGCATTCCAATAGTCAGCACCTCAGAGTTAAATATCATTGCTTCGATCTTTTTGTGTTTTTCTCTTCATAAAATGTCTGAAAAAATATCCGAAACATGAAGGTTCTTCTAACCCATGGATAAATGGCCTAAGCTATATTTAGCATAGCCTTGTAAAAGTTTCAGTTTTCAATGCTCTCCAAATTCAAATCTTATTTGACCTTATAACTGGTTAGATTCGAGTGGCACCAGTGCGTCATGTGTAGACTTAATGCAGACTGGTGAATTAATTATAAGCCTGGTATCTTTGTTGAGTTTTGTTTACAAACAGCGTTACTAATTTTGGTAATTGTAAACCATAGTTCATTATTTTCATCCAAAAATAGAACACAATGAAACCATTTTTTGCTGTACATTCCGTAGAGTGACATTTATTTCCATTGCTTAATGCTTGATATTTTTAACGGCAACTGATTTTTTCTTGAAATGGATAATTTTTTATCATTAGTGTATACCATTCATGGAAAAAATATGATATAACAGCATTTTAGATAAAACAATATAATATCACTTTTTTTAATGTATATGTAATATTGACATGATTTATTTATTATGTATGCATTTGTGCTTAACTAGATAGGAAAGGCGGTGATAAACTAAGGTCATTATTTGACCCCTTTAATTCGGAGATTGAAAGGGATCATAACTACATCAATGAATTTCTATCAAATATTCTGTCAGCTATCATTATGTATCTCCTTGATCTTTGTCTGAAAATATTTAAACTTCTACAATAATATTTATGTATTCATTTCCATTTGAAATACTGTCCTTAATACTTAAGTATAACCCACAACCTCACAAAAATATCGTGTTACAAGATGTCTTATACGAAGATTGTAAATGCGTGAGGGTAAAATAAGTTTTAGCAAGCTTTAACTTTAACATCTTTATTAAGAACTATGTGCATAATGACAGTTTGTCTGAAATATCAACATTTATTTTTATGACAATGTAGTGATATCACAAGTAACATTTTTTTTCAAAATTGTAAATAGAAAACTTTTACATTTTATTGTCACATTTTGTAAGTATCCTATTAACACTTAATATATGTTCTGTTGAAGAAAGAATATACCACTTATGTCATAGTAGTGTATTGAGTATTATAACAGTTTTGAGTGTCAATTTCAGTTTCTGAAAGTCATGGACATACGAAATGAATGTCTATTTATTATACTCGATAACCTGGTTCTCACAAAATAATCAATATAAAATATGAGAAGATTAGGTATTATCAAGATGAAACAACTATCCATTATTTACGGTATTTAATGTAAATATATAAAAAAAATATTGATCTGTTCATTGTTTATTATAAAATCATAAACATTTTGTGAATTGACTATTTTTGTCATACCAATCATTGTATATATGTAAGAATTGCATTTCCCTTATTACACCTATGTAATGAACTGTTAAATGAGTGAGTAAATAAAGCTACAAAAGTTGTATCTATTTCTATTGTTGTCCACCATTCGCTTTTAATTCTATGATGAGATTTTTATTTACTTCTATGCTCTTTTGTATTTTTTTGTTGTAATCTTAATTTTCTTTGCATGCTTTAAATCAGAAAGTATTTCTCGATCTATTTCTTTTAAAAAGGATTTAATAACATACGACGACTAAATTAGGGCAGTGATCTTTGTAATGTTACGTTTATTGCTTTTTATCTTTTTGCAAATAAAGTGTAAAAAAGTTAATTTATTCAAATACCTTCATGTTAACATACTTTTGTTAACCTCCATTATGCAAATAGTTGTCCATATTTTGTATATAGATATTAAAAGTTTACATTATATGAACATTAAATAAACAAAAATCAGTGTTTGCAGCATTGATATTTTTGCTAACTGCATGATGTCCTTAATGGGCAGGAATTTTATTTCAGTTAGAATGTATTTTTTTTTTTTTTGCATTTTACATTTTAATTATTCATTTTTTTTTTGCACAATGTTTTGAAAAAGTGGCAGATGTCATTTTACAGATTTTTTTATCAAGTGTATCAAAAAATTGATTACATCTACTTGATATGACCTGATTTTTTAAATGGTAAAAAAGCATTCCGGTTTTATTTCCCTCAATGAAACTATGAAAAGGAAAACATTTGAAGTATCAAATCACTATTAGTTGCACAATTTTCAATTATTGTTGTTTTAGTGCATAATTTTTGTACATAGGTGTCTAAGTCATTTTCGGTCTTTGTAATTGTATAGTTTTATTCAAAAATATGACTTGATATGTTACTATAAAAAGGTTTGGATACGGTTTTAAAAAATAGCGAATATTGGTCAAAAATTGCAGCAAAAGGGGCAAAAAATAATAGAGAAAATTTGCAAAAAAACAAAGAATGGAGAATGATTGACAAAATTGATAAAGAAAAGAGAACAATGATCTTAACAATAAAAAAATAAAGAATGGAAGAAATCCCATCCAGACCTTCCCATAGGACTATGTATTGTAGATTGATAAATGTGTAAAGAGTTGAAAAAGGGTAATGTCATATTGAGTGGTGAGGTGTAGATGAAGCAAGTTAGATATAATTTTGTAAATTTTTATTTTTATTTCTTTAATGGTGTTTGAGATATAATATAATGGTTATCATTGTCTGTATTAAATCTACACATGTATTAAGCTATGTAATGAAGATGTGTATAGGCAGGTACGGTTCCACGATTTTTTTTTAAGAGGGCGTAATTACAGAAAATTGAATACATAATAACGCCAAAGGCCAAAAAAATTTAGGAAGATTATATATTTTCCAGTCAAAGGGGGAATGATTATCCTCTCCCCCCTCACCTCCACCGTGAATCCGCATCTACTAGGTCCGATGGGTAATATTATGTGTTAAATAATAAAGGGTCTTTAGTATTGTGGAGCTTATGCAGTAAATTATTTATGTTACATTTAATCGACCATATATTTTCTATAATAGACAAATTTATGGTTAAAGTGTATAATATTGAACTTGCATGGAACTGTTTTAACTGTTTTAATATGTTCTTGTTGAATGCACTGTTATGCTTGTTTGTAAATACTTTCGAATATTTTACATAATTTATGTTTGAGGTTTATTATTATATTTATTCTGACTGTTTTAAATATTGTTAATGCATGAACTGTTACTGTTTAGTAAAAATTGCTACTTGAACTTCTGATTGAACTAAGTTTGCATTGTTTTGAGAGGTGATATGGAACAGATCCTCAATCAGTAAAATAGTGTATCAGAGTAACATAAAATCGTCTTAGATTTTCCAAAAAAGATTCTAGGTTTCATCAAATCCTTGGTTGCATGACTATCAAACTTTGAAAAGATCATATACATGTACTGCAAATGAAAGAAGAAACTTAAACTATATTGGAAAAGGAAAGGAGTGTCTTATTCTTTACTTGCTCTACATCATCAAACATGAAAGGGGATAACATTTAACTAAAGCAAAGATATATGGCAGAAGTTGACCTTGAAAGTTTCAGCTGGTTCTGGTAAGAAACGATAAATTTTGATTTACATATTATATATGTAAGGAAGAGTTAAACATGACTACACCAGTAAACTCTACAAACAATACTTCGACACCTACCATTTAAATGTTGTGAGAAGGGAGACATGGTTGCAGAAAAAATAGGGTTTATTTTAATTTGACAAAAGCAATTGTTTGTCCGGAGAAAAGGCAACGCCCCATCCCCTCTCCAGATAAAAGACAACACGATGATATTTCTTTTTAATTAAAATTGCACAATTTATACAGATAAAATTACATTTCTATAAACTTGATAAAGATGTTTTTCATAGGCTTGAAACTTTTCAGTAAATAAGTCATGTACTAGTCTTATTTTGGAAATGTTGCTTTTTAATAATATATGCCGTTCTAATTAAAAACATGTGGATTTCATAAAAAAAGAAATAATTCAGAACTAGAAATAAATCCTTCAATTAAGAGAAATTTACCTATTAAGGGAAATTTTCCCTAGCTTGTGAATCACTGGCATTCATAAAAATAAGGCTTAGAAAAAAATCGAGGTACAGCTATATGTCATATCCACAAACCAAAGCAATGCTGTAAATTGAATACTCTGGTACAATAATTAAGAATAATATATATATATAACAGTCTATCATCAAATTAATATCATGGTGACTCAATGACCTTACTTAATGCTAAGGGCATCTCATGTAGTTTACTGAAATTTTCTAGTTACAAAGATATGGAGATGTGGTGAGATTGCCAATATGACAACTATTCACTAAAGACGCAAGAACAAAGTCAAATACATAATTATGTAAATTAATAATATTGGGAGATTTTTTATTAATGCGAATATTGAGACAGCGTTAATATTATCCCACGAATAAGAACTCGCATTCTAATATCCGATACATATTTCTGTATGCAGCCTTGACAAAAAATCACAATAACTAATCTCGATATTTGCTGGACATGGCGAAATTGCAATATAAATGTTTGCAATAATTTCTGATTTCACTGTTCACATATTGAAGGTATCCATACAGCATACAACAATTAGCGACACCTGTTACGGAAAGCAATCTGTAAAAGCGCCTGGTTTTGAATATGTGAAATGAGCTATAAGATAAAACTGAAGGCATCCAGTCACATTCTACTAAAGCCATCGTTTAGTGTTAAAGATACATGTACCTATAAGCCTATTCAATTTGTGAGTCGCTGCATAGATGATGCCACTTTACATATGCTTATAAATTTTGCATACATTGTTAACATATTTCATTTACAAATACAGGTTTATATAGGAGTGTATTGAGAAGAACAAATTAAAGTGAAGTACAGATTGGACCTGATTTGAAAGATGAGCTTAGAGGTACATTCTTAAAATCATTATAGATAAATGTACCAAACAAATTATGAAAGCCATCACAATAGACTGACAATAGAACAGCAAAAATATGAAAAAGAAGGTGTGGTATGATTACCAATGAGACAACTCTCCACAAGAGACCAAATGGTGGCTATTGAATAATCAATTTTGAGTTTCATCAATTATTTATCTTTGATTAGGATCGGTTAAAAAGTAATTTGATATTGAAAATCAACTGAAAATTGTACCCTGATTAAGATGTATGTCTATAAGTATAAAAGCTACAAGTAGAATGATAAAATTTCAAATATTGTCATAAACTCTTAAACAAGTAAAACAATGGCATAAACATGTTCAGGTAATCACTGTTAAAGTACGACCGGTATAGTAATGTTATAACGGTAGCATTCACTAAGAAATCAATGTCTGCTTTTGTTTATCCTTCGTTTATTTTGTGTCCAACATCCATTATTTTTCAGTAAAAAAAATTCTTTTCGAGCTTTGACAGCCGGCAAAAATGAAAATCTAATTCTCACATTTGCAAAAATTGTTATGTTAGAAAATCACTACTTAATTAATATGAATAAAGTTTTTATTGTTGCATGTTGGATGCTATTTCGCATCAATACAATGATTTCTGAATTTATAAGAGATATGGGATAAAAGTCTATGAGACAACCCAAAAAGTACGAAATGATAAAGAAAACAAAAATAATTTCAAGGATGAATAGAAGTACATGTTTGATGAAGAAAAGAGAATAATATGGCGCTTAAAGATAAAGAATAGGACAATAAATGTAAAATAGAAAAGTTGGCCTGACAAAAATTAAGAAATTAAGACCCAATCCTGACCCGCGTAGATATTTACCAGGGTTCCAATTATTCTCTTTAATGTTATAATTAAAACACCCATATCATGCAAGTTGAAATATCATAAGTAGAATAATGTTAATTATTATTTTCAGAAGACATTTGTTTATCCAAAACATTCAGAAACCAATGAAGCATCAAGGACGTTTTCCATACTTTGAACCAGACACATCCTGATGCATGAGTAAATTTAAGAAGAAAGATCAACTGGTGATACGCATTTCCGTTGATTAACACGTACATGTATATGATGATGAGAAATCAGATAGTATTACTTACGTATGCTGACACAGATCGGAAACTATACTTGTGCTAAGATTTTTAAGAAAACAGTGTTTTTGTCAAATCTCATTGTGGTGCAACTCATTGAGTTGAAAATGAACATAAATATTTACTTTCAGATATTGTTATTGAATTAACAATTGAGCTTCTGTGATTATAAAGTTAGAAATTAGTTTATAACTTTGTGAATTCTTAAATAAGGCTTTAACAATGACTTTTACAAAGGGGTTGTACAATGAGACAGAAGTATATAGCACTGTCCGTGTATCTGGTACTCATTCTTGTGAGGCTAGCTTTATTTGTTTTTTTGCTTTTTTTGTTGATGAATGTATAACAGGAAGTGCTAATCCAGTCGACATATCCGGTTCCACAACGATCACAGTTCTAGATTTAGATTTTTCACCCCAACCAGATCATACTTCTATAAGCTATGACCACCACTTGGCACCCATCGTCGGCTGTTTTCGTCTATCTGTCACACAAGATTTGTTTTATTACATTAATGAATTTTGATCTTAATACTGATAACATCATGCTTATTTAAAAAAAAAATGGTCTCCTTTACCTACATTTTCTGCTGTCCTCTTTTTTAAAATAGTGTCAGAGTTTTACTTCATATTTATTTTAAAAATGTTCTACATCTACACACTCGTCAAATGATTCTTGGTCACTAGTTATAAAGGCAATACATGCATGTAATTATCATGACTTCCATATTTTCTGCTAGCTGACTTTTGGTAAACAGGATTGTTGTCTCAGTGACAATTCTACAACATATTATCATATACAAATATTGCCCACGTATTCTTTCCAAAACATGTTTGCAGATGTTGTTCCCGTGTAGGTTAAATTTACCATTTCAAAAGACAAGTATTAAGAGTTTTGACCTGATTCCAGTATAGCAAGTTAAATTAAAAAGGTCCGTTTGAATTATATTTTGCTTGGGGTTTATTTAAGCTAAAAATAACCTCTAACCGGTAATGTTTTGCAGTGCTATAAAGTTGTAAATATAACCTTACATGTCCATTATCCAATGTTTTTTTTTATTAGCACTTTGGGATTTTACTTTATTATATACAACAATTGTGATTAGTTTGTGTTTTATATGGATGAGTTTTATCAATGTTTGTTTTAATCAATAAAAAGTAGAAGTGTAGCGTGTATTAAGGTATATATTTAGACTCCCTCTAAACCAGATTTGATCAACTATATCTTATGAAAAAGGAGTAATGGACTAAATGCCAATGAGACCACAACCCAACGACAAAAATAACCAAACACCATCTAGAAGACACAATATAGGTGTGTATATGATATGTCAATATGTAAAGTTTAAAATCGTTCCTAGTCTATAAAAGTTGAAAGTCAATTTAAAAGAAACGATCAAAAATTGATGACGAATAACATTACGATATGATACACGATAAATTCTGACTTGGGACAAGCTCATGAAAATGTGCTGTGGGGAAACTTTTTTTTTGTCTTAACATAGTCTTCTTTTAATCTCGATCAATTAATTTTAAAAGGGTATATATACAATAATATACACTAAAAACCAGTACAGAAACAGCACTTAACTTGAAACTAAGGATACAGAAGATAACAAAAAAGCAAAAAAAAATAACAAAATATACCATAATAGAGAATGCTCCCAGTTACTCAAAGCATGCTCAAAGTACTTAACCTGCTGAACAGAAATCATGCCGTTCTACACATATCGGTTGATGTACGCATAGAAGATTTCATACAGGTATGTCATAAAAAGTTCATGAAGACATGATTGCCTCAAACTTTAAAAATTATACTTATCCTAAAAGTACAAGAAGCAAGTATACTCATAACCTTTCATCATATTGTCCTTTGATCTTTATGGACAGTTGTCTTATTGGCAATCAAGCCACATCTACCTATTTTCTCATGTATTATTATGTCTATCAAGCCAGGCAGACAGGTTTGAAAGACAATTCCTACATATTTAAGCTAAACAATATTACCATAATACAGGGTACTTAATACTACTTTTTATCAATTCTGAACGCGGATTTATACTTCCGCAATGAGTCCATACTCGTGATAAAATTTAGTAAAAGTTTTGACCAATTTATGATATCAATATCTCTACTATAAAAGACTTTTGGTAACGAAAATTATGTCTGAATCACAATCTAAAATATCTGCATGATAGAGATTATAAACCAATGTCATAATATGGTTAGAAATATGCTCTATGTTTGCAAATAAAAGTTTAGATATCACATTATCATGTTTAGTGTTAGTCACGGTAAGCTGTAACATCTTTATGCCTTTTGTTACTCTATATATCTGAACATTTCCATTGGTCCCGCAGGATATGTGGTGATACCTTCAATGAGACATCGACGCAATGAAACAAATAACTAAAGGATACATTTGTTCTTTTTTATTGGTGTCTCTTGGTTTCTTCTCCCCGCTTTTTACTTATGTTTCTGTTCAAAATCAGCTAATGATATGCCCAGTAGTTCGAATGATTTCTTTTTTATATTGGGAAAATCTACTGTTTCACAACTTCCCCTTTGCTCAACATGCGAGGGAAAACTTAAACTCTGCGGTAGGTTCCACATGCCCACTATTGACAAGCGGATATAATTACCGATTTCTTTTCATTTCTGACTTTGACAATAATTACTTGTAATATTATAAGAGTGTCATGCTTGTTGATGCATGTATAGCAGGAGTTGCTAATCCAGTCGACATACCCGGTTCCAAAACGGTCATATATAGTAGCTCTCGAATTTAATTTTTCAGCTCACCTGAACCAAAGATCCATAAGCTATAGCAACCACTTGGCGCCCATTGGCGGCTGTCGTCGTCTATCTGTCACAGAAGGAGATTTATCTTTTACATTTTCTTCTCTGAAACTGCTGAATTGATAACGACATATTTTTACTACAATCATTATTGTGATATCTTCTGGCTAAATTATGTCAGTCCGAAGTGTTTTTTTCTGTTGTTGTTTTTTTTTTTTTTTTATTGTTACATCTATTTACATTCACCAGGAACACTCAAACACAACAATTTGAAAACCGGGGTTAATACTTGAACGCGTCATGAATCTATTTACATTCACCAGGAACACTCAAACACAACAATTTGAAAACCGGGGTTAATACTTGAACGCGTCATGAGCTACATAACTCTACATTACTAGTTAAACTAAAATTTAAAAGACCGAACTCCATCTAAGGTCAACTTGTCTTAGGGAGTTTGAACCTTAATTTATAAATAATTTTGATATATATCATCTGAGAATTGTAGAAAGATGATTGTGTTTCATCCATTTATGCGTTTCTTGCTACAATCTTGAAATCTACAAAGATAGAGAGAAACTCCAACAGCAAAAATGATCCGATATCCAAAATATACAATAAGGTCAGTCTAATCGAAATCGGCATTCGATTCCCTATAGCAGTTATTATTGCCCTTCAATAACGACTTTTACCGATTTCTGTGGGTTTTTTTTAATGAAAATGTATGTAGATAGAGAAAGTGTGAGCAGCAAAATTAATCAGCAAAATAAGATCTTTTAATAAGTAAACATGTCTTAAATCGGTATTTTTGGTATTCTTTGTTTTGTTTTTATCGTATAAGTACACTTTGTATAGGCCACGCTTTATTTCAACACTTAATTTTGTTGCTATATATCGGTGTCGCCCTACCAAAACAAAATATTCAGAATTCAGGTAAACCAATATCGTTTCTTCCTAAATGATGGATGCCTGAAGGAGAAGCACAAACATCATTTGTATAGTTTTGAGTTTGATCTACCAAGGATTCAACTTCGCGCATGACATCTCTTACCTGGGAGTTTTTGCGTCAATGAAAAAAAAAAATAAACTCTTATGTACAGGACCATCTTCGTGTATCTTGACTGCCATTCGGCCAATATATTGACAGCAACCCAACCACACAATATCGAAACACTTCTAGAGGTAAACAAACAAAATATACAAGTATGTATTGATACAATTTATCAAAATACAAGTCACCACGAGACTAAAAAGTAATGAATCAATATAACAGACACTTTCACAGATCTATCCTCAATTTCAAATTCCCTTGAAGACGAAAAATACAATAGATGACTAAATGTAAATTGTTAATTAGGGAATAATCAGATTTTCAATTTCAGTTAACATATATTTTAATAATTAAGTCTAAATTTGTTGTACATAATTAATTCTTTCTTATGGTATTCAATATGTATATATGTATGTTGTGATAACCATGTCACGTGTAGTCCATTCTGTTGATTTGATTAGTCCTTATTTGTCAGTTTAAAGGCTCGGTTGTCATGTAATTGCGAATTTGCTGCCCTATAGTTTGAATATATTTTTCTATATTTAAAATAACAATAAGCAGCAAAACAATAATATCACAATTATCATAAAAAATCCATACCGCTATAAACTTTAGCATGCAAAGAGTCAAGGAAATGATAAATGCTACAAATAACGACAAGCTGAAGTTTTTTGATGCAAGGAGAAGAATCCCACATAATATTGAAATGTCATTTGCAACAAAATCAAACCAATAATAAATATTATATGAAATGAACACAAGAATCATATAAGAGTAATAAAGAAAAATATATAACATATATACCAAGAAACAGCAAATTAACACCAATGCAGTAATCATACCTAAAGTTAGGGTACACTCAAAATATTTGAGAAGAACTGTTAAAATAAGTACGATCCGTAAGCACATGCGTATTAATTGTGAAAATGTATGGCTGTCAATAAATAATACATAAAGTAGTTTTATAAAAGCAACTGTGGCAAATCCTATCAGAAACAATGTTCCTAACATAATCAAGATGTTTAAAATGTCTAAGTTTATCAATATGAATTTCTTTTTCACAATTGTGCAATAAGTTCTTATATCCATCGGTGTAACAGACCATTTCCATGACAACAGCTTCAATAACGAAATAAGAACCTGGTGCCTTGATCCAACTACCAACGCATCTCGAACTACTGTTGCACAGTTACGCGCCAAAAGATGATATTGTTTGCTTGGCTTGTTGTGTGTCCACCAGTCAGTTATTTTTGAAGCGCTAACAAGATCACGTGGTATTCTGAATATCCCATCTGCAGGTCTCATAGCAAAATGTGAACTGTCTTCTTCGTACGATGATGGTAATGCTTTTTTTATGGTAGCCTAAATTAACAATGATAAAGACATGAGACATTACATGTATATGAAATATAGCTATACTCGAAAAGACATAATTCGTTCAGACAAGACTATTTTTCAGAATACGAACTCACTTCAAAGAAGCTGTTTTGGGAAAGATAAAATGGTGGATTTGCCTCATAAAACATTTGTTTGTTCACTATTGAAAATGATTTTAAAAGCAACACATTGTAAATCAACTATTATTGCAGCTTTCGAGTATTGACAGCTGGTAGAAACTATTATCTGAAATATATATATATATATATATATATATATATATATAGCACTCAAAGAGGGTCTCATGTTTGGGGTTCTGATCCCTTATCCCGCTTATTGTTTGTCAGATTCCCGTATACCACTTATCATTTTAATAATAATAAGGCTTGTAATTTCACGTGTCCCGCCCGACTTTGTTTCCCGTTTTCACACACAATAATTTGTCTTTCACGAATCACGCTTACAAAACTCGGCCAATGTCGTGTCACGCTTAGACCCCAATGAGACCCACCTCAAATGGGTTGTCCATCGCAGTAGAAATGATGAAAAAAATTATTGACATATATAGATTCTTTATCAAATCACCGTTTTAGCCCAAATCTATTAACTTGTGTTTTTATATCTTTGTTCATCAATACTGAAAGTATATGAAACAAATCAGTGTTTCTATAACATGAATGTAGTAAGCATTACAAGAGCTAAATTTCAATTCTTACTTTTTGTTGAAGTTTAGTCTTGTTATTAAGTGGATACCAGCTTATATATGTTGAGTTGTTGTCAACCTCCAAGGAAACATGTCCTACGCTCCCTATTTCGGCGTCTGGATTCCAAACATAAATCGTAACCATAGTTACACTGTTAAAAACAATTAAAATGCTTATATAAGTGCTTCAAAGTTGATCAAATAAGACATTTAGATGTCTTCTCCTTCTTTTGCAGCAAAACCAGTTACATGAAAAATGTGCAATATATATTATATAACGTACAACAAAGTTATTAGGGCGTCTGTAGGCCATTCGGAAGGACGATTTCAACATTACTACTATCAGCCCTCGGTTCAAATAGTTCCTTTTAAGCGTAGAAAAGCATTATCAAGAAAATCATGGTAGGAGTTCTTAACATACCTTCATTGTTAATTTGTTATTACAATAGTAAAATTCAATTAATACCAAAACAAGAAACATTTAGGAAAATAAATGTACACGTCATGCGACTGATTCAAAGATAGCTGAATTGAATTTTTCGGCACAAGAGAACTGGTGTTATGAAAAAACGATTCTCTAACAAATATTCTATCGCTATGAGTTCCGATAGATAAATAAAGGCGAAGGTATTCAAACATAAAACATGGATCATTGAACCCATGAGGCAACTGATATGAAGGATTTGAATATGTTTTTTTTTGTTTGATTGATGTGTTTTTGACGTATCCAGCATAATCATTTAAGTGTGATACATGTTTATCAATTATTTATAGACATTGAAATGACTTTTATAAGTGTTTTTTATCACAGTGCCCGTTTGGGATGTATGTGCTTTAGCACATACTTACAACTTCTCGTCCAATCAAATTGCCTGGATTTGCCTTCTTATTTTCATAGTACATAATACTTTACCCGTGTACTAAGTAACAAAGCATGAATGATTACAAGGGTAAGATTTCGTTGTATCGTAATCAAGATATTAATACAAGAATTGAAAGTGGCATTTTGAAATAAAATTATGTGTCCCAAATTTTTAAAAAAAGTTTGTAATTAGTTTTCACATTGATTTTTAATTATCCTGGAAGTAACAGGATTTAAAAAATATTTTCAACAAATACAAGTTTCTTTCATTTGGATAAATATAACATCTGTGGTCCTTAATACCTTGATTAGGAGTACATCGCTATCTTATAATCGTGGTAATTTATCATAAATGCAAATTCAGTATAACTTACGATCAGTTTTTATCTAAGTTTTTTTCTGAAAAGAGACACCGGTAGTGTTTTGCCAAAGAACGTCTCTTCTCAATTTTCCGCATTATATGATGTTTCTGCTATAAAAAATATTCTACTATTTAAACGGATGTCAAGTTGTTTCAATATTCAACATTCAACGTTCAATATTAATTTTTTTTTTTTTTTTTTTTTTTTTAACTTTAATTTTTTTTATCGTTTTCAACATTCAATTTTCGTTTTCAACATTCAGCATTCGTTTTAAACATTCAACATTCGTTTTATCATCTTTCAACATTTGTTTTCAACATTCAACATTCGATTGAAACATTCAACATTCGTTTTCAACAGTCAACAATCATTTTCAACATTCAACATTCAATATCAACAGTCAACATTCGTTTTCAACATTCAACATTCGTTTTTCAATATTCGTTTTCAGTATTCATCATTCGTTTTCAACATTCAGCATTCGTTTTCAACATTCAAAATTCGTTTTTCAACATTCAATTTCAACATTCACCATTCGATTTCAACATTCAACATTCGTTTTCAACATTCAACATTTGTTTTTCAACATCCAATTTCAACATTCAACATTCGTTTTCAACATTCATCATTCGTTTTTCAACATTCAACATTCGTTTTCAACATTCAATTTTCGTTTTCAACATTCAGCATTCGTTTTAAACATTCAACATTCGTTTTATCATCTTTCAACATTTGTTTTCAACATTCAACATTCGATTGAAACATTCAACATTCGTTTTCAACAGTCAACAATCATTTTCAACATTCAACATTCAATATCAACAGTCAACATTCGTTTTCAACATTCAACATTCGTTTTTCAATATTCGTTTTCAACATTCATCATTCGTTTTCAACATTCAGCATTCGTTTTCAACATTCAAAATTCGTTTTTCAACATTCAATTTCAACATTCACAATTCGATTTCAACATTCAACATTCGTTTTCAACATTCAACATTTGTTTTTCAACATCCAATTTCAACATTCAACATTCGTTTTCAACATTCATCATTCGTTTTTCAACATTCAACATTCGTTTTCAACATTCAACATTCGTTCTACAACATTCGATTTCAACATTCATCATTCAAAATTCGTTTTCAACATTCAACAATCGATTTCAGCATTCAACATTCAAAAATATTTTTCAAAAAAAGTTTTTTTTTCAAATTTTTTTTATTCTTTTTTTTTTTTCAACATTCGATTTCAACATTCAACGTTTGTTTTCAACATTCAACATTCGTTTTAAACATCAACATTCGTTTTATCAACATTCAACATTTGTTTTCAACATTCAACATTCAACATTCGTTATCAACAGTCAACATTCGTTTTTCAACATTCGATTTCAACATTCAACATTCGTTTTCAACATTCAACATTCGTTTTCAACACTTAACATTTGTTTTTCAACATTTGATTTCAACATTCAACATTCGATTTCAACATTCAACATTCGATTTCAACATTCAACATTTGTTTCAACATTCAACATTTGTTTTCAACATTCAACATTCTATTTCAACATTCAACATTAGTTTTCAACATTCAACATTAGTTTTCAATATTCAACATTCGATTTCAAAGAGGGGCAAAAGATACCAGAGGGACAGTTAAACTCATAGATCGAAAATAAACTGACAACGCCATGGCTAAAAAATAAAAAGTCAAACAGACAAATAATAGTACACAAGACACAACATAGAAATACTAAAGACTAAGCAACACGAACCCCCCCAAAAACTGGAGGTGATCTCAGGTTCTCCGAAGGGGTAAGCAGATCCTGATCCACATGTGGCACCTGTCGTGATGCTCATGTTATTACAAATCCGGTAAATAGTCTAATTCGGTAGGTCATATTCGTGGTGAAAAAGGAAGTGGATTGTAATTACGACATAAGGAACATATCCGATAGCATCTGTGAAATGGTTATTCCATAACGGTCAACCAATTCGTGATGGCGTCCGTAAAATTTACGAAGGGATGATTTCGACTTCACCATTTTGGAACTCTTGGTTTAGTAGCTTCCTTGTGAGCAGCAACATTCAACATTCGTTTTCAACATTCAACATTCTTTTTCAACATTCAACATTCTTTTTCAACATTCAACATTAGTTTTTCAACACTCGATTTCATCATTCAACATTCGATTTAATCTTTTTTATATGGAAATGATATTTTTATATCTTGTTGCTAGTCATTCGCATACAGACAAGAGGATTTAGAATGATGTATATTTGTACAAAACGAAGACGAATCCATGTAAAAAAAACGATTAAGAAGTGAGAGCAAAGACTGGTCGGCCCGGAGTCAGATTAATGTGTCGGGGAAGGGTGACATATCTTCCAGCGGACTGTTACCTTGTGAACTATACCATTAAAAATCCGAATCGGCGTGTCAGTCTAGTACAAAGCAGGGTTAATATTCTTTTAACATTAACACGTTCTCGTCCTGAATATACGTATTATTTGCCACTGGACGTTTAACAGCCTTTTATAATCATCATCTGAAATGTGTGTGCACGTCTAACGCTTTACATGCCAATGAATTAAAAAGAAAGCATTCAGTTTTGCAGTACATGCGCTTATAATCTTGTATTTCATCACTTAACAATGCCTGTGATTTTAGTCGATCTAATGTATATGTAAATACACCAATACAGACGATGTAAATTAAGGGTTATGCAGATAACCAAAAATATTATTTATGCAATATAACAACAAAATGATAAAGAGGAACAGGTATGATAAGTGTTATGTTTGGCCCTCATTCAAAAACATATATATGCATGTCATTAATAACCTTTGTACAGAAATTTTGAAAGCAATGATTTCTATTATGTTCAGTTGAAACGAAAAGTAGCATATCAACGGTTTTATTCAAATTATCACGTATGAAGTGCTTTAATTGTCTGTATAAATAAGCACACTTCCAAATAAGATTTAATACATATGAAACTTCATATTAAGAAAAGAGTTGAATCAATTTTATATGCTTGAATGGCGAAGTTTTACTATAAAGCAAGTGAACGTGAACTTTCTTGTAAAAGAAAATCCTTCATATTGTCAAAATCTTCATAAATGTACTGATATTGAATTATTGTCTTCTTGTACACTAATTCGCCGATATTTTTCCGTAGGCAGTGACTTTAACTACAAGACCTCTCGTTACAACTTTGGCCATTGCACAGCGCAAGTGTAATGGGAAAACCGTGATGAAATAATGAAAACAAACGTGCACAGGAAGGTAAATAGTAATAACTGATTCTTAAAGAACAATTTCATACAACAAATAATTTAACAAGTGTTAAGGAAAAGTTTAATTATCAAATTGGAACGCATGGAAAATATAAAAAAAAAAAGAATATCAGAGCTATTCACTTATTTGTCATGCTCTCCACGTGCTATGTATTGATTGTTTATCAATGTCACGATCAGGTAAACTTCGGCAACAAACTCGAAAATTATATAGCTTGCGATCAACAATCACTGAATGAAATATTATTTGTCGATAATACCTTATAGGTCAGTAATAGAAGTGGGACACTTAAAGACGTATCGTATCTGTATCTGATACGTTGACGTATATGAACGTATCTATTGGTTATTGTTAAAATACATGTAGCAATCGAGAATAGGGAAAAGAGTTGGAAAAAAAAGTGAAAGGTTAATGACTATTTTTGGTCTCTATCAATTTTAATACCTGAATTGTTTTTTAGTAATTGTTTAACAGATGTATTTAAAATGTGTTTATATACTAGCTTCTTGTATGTCAAAATCATGACTTCTTTTATCTATTGTTACATTTGTTGCCCTAAAGGAATTGTTTCTACGATATATATTTAGTTACAGAAACTAACAATACAATTATGAAAGCATGGACGACAGCAGAAGCTAACATCTACACACATTTAACAATCACGTGTTTTTCGTGTCAATCTTATCTGGGAACAGTATATATATATATATATATATATATATGTTCCTGATCTTATATACTTGTATATGTTTTAGCACTCGATATTTAAATCATTAGAACTACCCAGGCGTGAAGTTGAATTATATTTAACAATTAAAGTTTACGTTGACAATATCTATACGCGTACTTTAAATTTGCTAATAAATGAATCATTCAACATCTGCAGAGTCGGATTGGTGACTGATACCAATTTTAATACATTTAGCAGGCAATACTTTTTTTTTCAAATAGTAAAAATGAAAGAGAACAAAAAATTTCATCACCCTTTCCCTATTTGTTAACCTCTCTTATCCTTGTTCTCGAAATTATCATCACAGTTTTTGACTCAATCATTATCTATATCTGCATTAGTATCATTTAAATTCATGCCTGAAAAGTGACGATCGATGGTCTAAATATCGAGTGTTTAGATATAAACGAGTAAACATAAATTGAAAACTATCGTGTAAAGAAGACTTTTTTGTTAAATAAACTGAATGTTCCTGTCAAGTTTTGTCATAATCAGTTCAATAGTTTGAGAAAAATCTAGTATAATGTAAGATGACATCAACAGCGATTCGAGCAAAAAAATTCAAACCAAGCCGCATCATGATAGAATATAGTGTTGACCAATAAATGATCAAATATTTATCACATCTGCCTACAAACAGTTGAATATGATGCAAAAGATGACTTTGGGATGATAAATACTACTAATGGACCTCTTTGTCTTCCTTATAAGGTCTCTTTTGGTCCATTTATACCTCTCATTTACTCAAAATTTCTACTTTTTAGGCCAATAAATAAAAATTTTGGGGTAACTTTCACTCATTTAGGATAGAAATGTTATTATAAATGATTAATTAAAGTATTCAAGCTGTATGAACTATCCATATAAAAGTTTACTGTCTCCAAGGAGGTTTCAATAAGTCCTTACGTAAAACTTAAATTTACGCCAAGTTCCAGAGAGGGACATAAAAAACTTCTCTTTTGGTGAATTATTTGTTGTTACTGCTTTAAAAATAATTTCATTTACTTAAAACTATATATTTATTAAAGTATTTCTTAGGAAAAGTTTTCTAGTATAGCAGAATATAAGAAATAAGGAGAAAAAGCTCCCCAAGACTCTAAGTATGGCTTGTTCTGTCAACTAATATTCATGGTAAAGTCCTATTTCAAGGAAATTTTCTCATAAAATGTATTTTGGAGACTCAATCCACTCAGAATATTTCATTATTTGTAATATTTCACTTAAATAGCAAGAAATTTTAACACATGAGAGTACTCACAAGGTCAAAGGAGCTTCCCATATTAAGAAGACTTTTTTGTTAAATAAACTGAATGTGACTTTTTTCCTTTGTAATACTGGTTATTTCAAGCATTCCTGTCAAGTTTTGTCATAATCAGTTCAATAGTTTGAGAAAAATCTAGTATAATGTAAGATGACATGCAACCGGATGTGACGTACTATGATTTGGTGGTATTACACCTTAAAAAGAGAGTGTATTAATGACCGAAAGACATCTAACATAACAAAAAAAAATCCACATAAACATGTACTATTTAAACACGTAAATAATCAATTTTGATCAATAACCCATAAATACGTTCAGATACGTCAACGCATCAGATACGGATACGATACGTCTTTAAATGTCCCGCTTCTAATAAATACAAAAACGTGGACTTAGTTCAGTATATATGCATGCACTGGATCAATAATTTAAAGGGGCACTATCTACGAGATATATATAAAATCTAAAATATTATTTTTTTTTGTTCAATCATTAATGAAAATGAAATAAGAAAATTATAATTCGCTTTTAGCAGCCAGTATGGTTCAATTTTGTCAAAATAAGCTAAGAAACATTGATGATGAATAATTCACTTGTCTGAGAGTGAATATTTCGACCTCATTAAATCCGTATTCATGTGAACTTCAATTTAACCCCTTAGCTAGAGATGGATAATGCATGAATTGTGCGTGTTCAGTTATTTAAAGGAAAAAAATGTCAACATTGAAATTGAAACAAAGGTAAACCATTCGATTGACTGATTCGATCCACACAAATCATTCTTATACAGGTAAAAACGATGATTAACATTTTGTATTTTTAATCTATGATATGAAATTAAACAGATTTAGAAAAATCCAACTGCACGAGTTCGCTATCTATTTATATCTATATGTATATTTATATCGCTTAAATGACCATCGGAGGTCTTCGGAGGTCAACTCGATAGTTATTTAGATGGCGTCTAGACTAAAATACACACGAAACGAAGCTACATATTATCGAGTCCATGCCCTGTGAATTGTTTATTTGATACTTTTTATAATTTGGATAAATGTTTTACATTGTTATAAATCAAATATGAGAATTTGAGTCAAATCGGTGAACATGAATTTGACAGTTAGTGCCCCTTTAAAACATTAAAATTACAAGAAATTCGTTTCATATGACTTTAATGTTTATGACCCCTTCTGTAGCCATTTGAATTGCGAAATTTTCAAACTGCAATAGTATCAAAACAGCAAAAATAATGAATAATAGAGATGGGCCATTTTGTAAATATATATACCAAGGGGGAACTTCATGCAAAAGCATTATTATTTATTGTTTCATTGCATTTAATAGAAAAAGAGGATTTTGTGGCAAATAAAACCAAGATTTTTGTAGAAAATCCACAGACTTTAAAAAAGAGATATTTGTTATAAAATTTTAAATATAGATTATTCACTTGTTTTTCTATGATGTGCCAGGATTTATTGTTTACAAAAGTCCTAAACAACCTCGTGATGAGTCACTAAAGTCGAGCGCACCCTAGAAGGTGTACTTGAATTGGTCCATATTTATATTTGTTTAAACTAATATCTAACTTTATAAACTTGTTTTAAGGAAATCATTGCTAGGACTGCATGCAATTATCCTCTATCTATCAAGCACCGAATTGCCAAACATGAGAGTACAAGAGGAAAGGCTGTTGATTTTCTATAAAATTTCCATATGTTTAGTATTGAATCAACACAAGGAAACAAAATCCTTCTTTTTGAAAAGAAATTAGTTACAAATGAATAGTGATTCAAATTAAGTTCACCAAAATCTTAAATACAAACAACGATTTTAGATTATTTGTGCCCCCTGAAGTATGTCTTTGGTAAAGTTTGATGATTTTTCTCGTGCCATTTTAAACATTATGCTTTTGTCTCTTTTAATTCTTGTCCAGAAATATAATTATATATATAATTATTATAATGTATACTTTACAAAAATATATATGACGAGGTTGTGGTACAAGGTATATAGCCTAGTTGATTAGTCGTCTATTCGTCCTTCAACAATCAGTTCGAAGGGCCTCGCCCCTTCGTTTCTCTTTTCGAGTGCTAAAACGAAAGGGAAAGTACTTGAAAATGTGATGGAAATTTTAATTTCTTTAATATAGAAATTGTCTGCATAAAAATGCAAAAACATATTGTTTTTGGGAGTAACCAGTACATGAATTAACACTAGTAATACGAAAGTAATTAAGATATACAATTCCTTGGTAATACTTACAATTGCGTCGTGATAAGCCAGCTCCTTGTCAAACTATTTACACAGAACTTTCATCACACATACAGGTAAAAATAGCTTACATATTTTTTAGAGTGCATTTCTTTCTAACACAAACGATGCAAACGGCTAAGCGCGCTCATGTTTTGATCATTTGTTTCTAACATACGTTTGCAAAGTTTACATAAACTTTGACAAACTATGCACTCGCTAAAAATGCGTCTACAGTTTGTCGTTCATCGGTTGTTAGTACAAACGCTACATTTGTTTCTAACTTCAACCTGATTAAACGATGTATTTGTTTCTACGTTTGCAAAAAGTCTGTTTACCAACAACATGTGCATGCATTATTGGAAGTTCAAACAGGGTCAGTAAACACTGATTTAACAATGTATTTGTTTCTACTTTTGTAGCGTTTAGAAAACAACAACAAACGCCACACAACGTTTACAAAATTTTGGTTAGAAAGAAATGCACTCTTAGATAAGGTACAAACTACACAGTTATTTCATTATACATAAACATATGAATGTCTTCTTACTTGCGTACCTGTAGTGTCAAAATGTACAACGTTTTGTTTAGAAAATTCTATTTACGTAATGCAAGGAAAAAGTATACTTAAATTTCGCATAGGATCAAACATGGAAAGAAGAATATTTTACCCTATTTTCGTGCGAATCATGATTTCACCTGTTTGGATAGTGTTATTTCGAGATTACTACTGTTGGCATTGTCTTATTTAATGATTTTCTCGGTTGATATTGTGTAATTCCATGATACTCCTTTTTGTATTATGTGATTTTATGACAGCTCAAATAGGTAAACTGGTGATTTCAAGATTACTCTTAAGTTGGTATTTAGTAATATTATGATTACTACTGTTGGTATTGTGTGATTTCATGATAGCTGATCTTAATATTGAGTAAGTTCATGATTACTCCTGTTGGTTTAGTGTGACTTCATGATTTTTCCTGTTGGTAAAATGTGATTTCATGATTACTGCTTTTAGTATTGAGTGACTTAATGATTACTCCTGTTGTTATAATGTGACTTCATGATTACTGATGTTGTTATTGCATTGATAATTATACGTGATTTTATAATTATTACAGTCGGTATTGTGTAATATCATGATGACTTTTGTTAGTTAATACGTATGATTTCATAATTACTCCTTTTGGTATTGTTTGATTTCATAATTACTCCTTTTGTTTTTGTATAATTTCATAATTACTCCTTTTGTTATTGTATGATTTCATGGTTACTCCTTTTGTTATAATGTGACTTCATGATTACTCCTGTTAGTATAGTGTGACTTCATGATTACTATTGTTGGTATAGTATGATTTAATGGTTACTCTTGTTGGTATTGCACTCTGCACTGTTAGCCACTAGTCTGATGCCCCAGAATGGTAAAATATTATTCAGCATAGTAAGTATTTAAAAATCTTTGTTTAGAAACGGAAGAAAAATGTTGGAATATTGGTATTCAGACTAGTAGTAGGAGAAGATTAATTGTGATGCAGACTGGTATTCTTCTTCTCCTTTAGTTACGAAATACCATCATCGTTTTGGGGATAATTTTCCAGCGCATGCCTGTATGAGGTTGTTTTAAGTTTATTTCATTTTTTCTTTTATTTATCATGTTTATGAAATTTACAATTTTTATAATTTTGATTGTTTTCCATTTTTTATGGGTTTTTTTTATATTAAGATAAAAACAATAGGCACATTTAGTTTAGGTGCGAGAATTATTCAAGGAGGACTTAATGAGTGAGTGCATCCTTAAAGTTGTCTGTAGAGGTTTGGTTTGACATATCAGGTGGTAATTTATTCCAATCTTTGATTGTTTGGCTGAAGAATGAAAATTCAAAACTGTCTTTGTTACATTGAAGTTGTCTGTATGCTTGTTGGTGGGTAGATCTTGTTTTAGACTGGCATTTCATGAGTATACCTTGCGATGGGATTGCAATTTCATTGTTTATGACTTTGTTGAACATTAAGAGTTTGGTTTTCAACCTGCACTCTTGAAGGTTTGCCAGTTTAGATTTTCTAGCATTTCAGATACACTGCTGGTATTGTGATATCTGTTGCAAGTATTTCGTGCAGCTCTTCGTTGTATATACTTGTTCCAATCTATAAATATTTTCGGAGGTGTGTGGATCCTAAACTGTGCAGCAGTATTCTAATTTTGGTCTTACTATAGTTTGATAAGCTCTTTCCTATACTATTTTGAGTTAATTTTTAGATTTCGTTTGATTGATAATAAGGATTGATTTTCTTTTGCTGTTTGACGTTTGGTATTTATTGTATGTGTTTGTTACATTTGAGGTCCGAAGAAAGTGTAATGCCTAGATATTTTGCTGATTGGACTTGTCTGGGATATGGCAATGCATGTTGTAATAGAAATGCTTTTTCAGAGGGGTTTGTATGAAGGATACCTTCACTTCATAAAGATCCACTGTCGGTGTTCTCATTTCTTTGGCTTTTTATATAAGAGTGTAGCATTTTGGGTTGCTTGTTGAAATATTTCTGGTCTGGTTCTTTTATGTCGATGTCAAAGATCATATTTTCAATGTATGCTCAGTATGCTTTTCTCATCTCTTTTTGAAGTTTGGTCTTTATCTCTTTGTATTTATTGTTGTATGATGAGTCATGATTTTTCTTTTTGTAAAGTTTGTTTTTCTTTCTGATGAATCTTTTTAGGTCTTTATTTATCCATGGTAATTTTTTTCTCCATTTTCTTTCGTTGGTATATTTTTGTTGATGTTTTCTGTCGTTTTTGGTTTTAAAGGTGATCCATAGATCATCGACAGTCATAGTTGTCTTGTTCACTTTCAAATAATCATGTGTTAGTATGAAATATTTCTTTGTGTTCTCCCAGTCTGCTTCTTTTTTTTGTATATACGTACTTTATGTGGGTGTTGTTTTGGTGATGGTATAGCAAAATTTATTTCACAAAAGACAATGTCATGGTCACTTCCTCCTATAGGTGGGAGGGTCTCAATTATATTGACAAAGGATGGATGTCATGCACATTAAGTCCAAAGTTCTATCATTTCTGGTTTTCTTGTTTATTACTTGTGCTAAATTATTATCATCATGAATATTAAGCAGTTGTTGGTGTAATGCTGAGTCAGGTTTATTTGGTACTGTCAAATTTTTTTCCCAGTATATTTTGTCAAGGTTAAAGTTACCACTTAGCCAGACGTTTGCATTTGTTTTTTTGCACGCAGTATTAAGAGAGATACCAATGTTTTATAATGAATCCCCTTTATCTGAAGGTGGTCTATCGTACGCGACTAAGTATAGTGTTTTATTGTTTGGAGATGTTATTTTTGACCAGATTATTTCGCAGTCTGTGTCATATTCAATTACTTGTGATGAGATGTATTTATTTGAGACTGCTAACAATACTCATCCATATCCGTCTTTTCTATTTTTGTTGTAAACAGTGTATTCGGATGGTAATATATACTCGTATGGTGATATAAAACTTAAGAGTCAGGTTTCTGTGCCATTGATTATGTCTGTTTCACAGGATTCAAATACTTGTTTTTATTTCAGATTAATTTCTTATTTTTCATAGACTGAAAATTTATGGTTAGTGTTCTCAGTGGTGTTTTACTTGGTTTAGGTTTGTTTTTGTGAATTTTATTTTGACTATGATTTTATTGGGTGATTTAATATAACTGATGTTGGTTTTTGTGTGATTCGTGATGACTGCTGTTGGTATAGTGTGGTTTCATGATTACTTCTTTATATATTGAGTGACTTCATGATTACTTTCGTTGGTATAGTGTGGTTTCATGATTACTTCTTTTAGTATTGAGTGACTTTATGATTACTCCTGTTGGTATTAAATGATTTCATGATTACTCCTTTAGTTATAGTAAGATTTCATGATTACTCCTTGTGTTATAGTATGATCTCATGATTACTACTTTTAGTATTGAGTGACTTTATGATTACTCCTGTTGGTATTAAATGATTTCATGATTACTCCTTTAGTTATAGTAAGATTTCATGATTACTCCTTTTGTTATAGTATGATCTCATGATTACTACTTTTGGTATTGTTTGATTTCATGATTACTCCTTTTGGTATTGTATGATTTCATGATTACTCCTGTTGGTATTGCATGATTTCATGGCTACTCCTTTTGTTATTGTATGATTTCATAATTACTCTTTTGTTATAGTATGATTTCATGATTACTCCTTTTGTTATAGTATGATTTCATAATTACTCTTTTATAATAATATGACTTCATGATTACTCCTTTTGTTATTGTATGATTTCATATTTACTCTTTTGGTATTGTATGATTTCATGATTACTCATTTTGTTATTGTATGATTTCATGATTACTCCTTTTGTTATAGTGATTTCATGATTACTCCTTTTGGTATTGTATGATTTCATGATTACTCCTTTTGGTTTTGTATGATTTTATGATTACTCCTTTTGGTATTGTATGATTTCATGGTTACTCCTTTTGTTATAGTGTGACTTCATGATTACCCAAAAAGGTAAAGTGTGATATCATGATTACTGATGTTGTTATTGCATGATTTCATGATTTCTACAATTGGTATTGTGTAACATCTTGATTACTCCTGTTAGTTACGTATGATTTCACGGTTACTCCTTTTGTTATTGGTTGATTTCATGATTACTCGTTTTGGTATTGTATGATTTCATGATTACTCGTTTTGGTATTGTATGATTTCATGGTTACTCCTTTTGTTATTGTATGACTTCATAATTACTCTTTTGTTATTGTATAATTTCTTGATTACTCCTTTTGTTATTTCATGATAACTCCAAAAGGTACAGTGTGATATCATGATTACTTCTGTTGATATTTTGTAATTTCATTATTACTCCTATTTTTATATGTGATTTCATGATTACTTGTTTTTGTATTGTGTGACAAATTTCAGAAAGCTCTGATTTATAGTTCCTGAGGAAAAGGTAACAAATTTGTTTTGGGTGACCAACCATACAGACTGATAGAAAGACAGAGGCAAAACAGTATATCCCCTTCCTTTTTAAAACATAATCCAAGCAAAACAAGCGAGAACATAATCTTAAACTGAATGCAGGAGAGTTAAGTATTGAATACAAGATCAAAATATCTTCTTTTCTTTTATTTGTTACTCATAATTATCATTTCTTAATGAATAATACTACATTATTTTTTGTTTGTTATCAAAATATGAAATGTATTCAAAACACAGTATTTGATTTGATTTTGATTTGATTTTTGGTGTTTTAACGCCACTTTTAAGCACCGCTTTTGGACTATTTCAGGGCGGTCAGTTTTTATTGGTGGAGGAAGCCGGAGTGCCCAGAGAAAACCACCGACCTTCGATAGGAAAACTGACAATCCTAGTCAATTAAGACTGGAGTCGAGTACACCCGCACGAGCGGGGTTCGAACTCAAAACCTCAGTGTTGACTGGCTAATGATTACAGTAGTAACTACTTAGACCACTCGGCCACAGTATTTGATAAAAAGTATCAATTTTGTTATCTGTTTTCACAAATTTGAAAGCAAGATGTATTTCAACAAATTGCCAACAATAAAGTAGGTGAAATCAAAACAGATTATTTTCAGTGAGAAAATGAGGCTAATTGAACAAAAAGGTCAAATTCACAACATCAAAGAAAGAAGCTTTGATGTTTAAAAGAGAAATCTTTTTAAAAAAAATAGGGAATGTGTCCATGGGACACAGATGATGCCCCCTCTAGCATATAACTCAAGAACTGTAAAAGTGACGCTACCAAAATTTGTACTTGATCTGAGTTTTGTGGTAATAAGCATAGTTTATAAGTTTCATAACATTTAGTTGAGGCAAACTCAAGTTAGAGAAAGGAAACGAAAAATTCAGCAATTTTTCCATTTGTAAAGGGGCATACCTCTAGAACGGTAAAAGTAACACCACCAAAATTCCAACTTGATCTGTGTTTTGTGGAAACAAGCATTGTGTATAGGTTTCATAACATTTGGTTGAGGCAAACTAAAGTTAGAGAACGGAAACCAATTTTGGGACGTACGTACGTACAGACGGACAAGGGTAAAACTTAATGCCCCCTCCGCTACGGCGGGGGCTTAAAAAACATGGAATGCATTCTGTTCAGCATTATCATATCAGAGGGTCTGGATGGGGGTCCTCCATTTTTGTATTCTTTATATTTTTTTCCCATTATTCTCATTATATAATATTTTTTGTCCATTTTTCTCTATTCTTTATATTTTTGCCAATTTTTCTCTATTCTTTATATTTTTTTCCCATTATTCTCTAATCTTTATGATTTTTCCCAGTATTCTCTATTCTTTATATTTTTTGCCTGTTTTTCTATATTCTTTATAATTTTTCCCCAGTATTCTCTATTCTTTATATTTTTTTTGCCCGTTTCTATATTCTTTATATTCTAGCACCTCATTATTCTTACTCTTTTTTTTTTGGCTTTTTTTCTCTATTCTTTTTTTTTGGGGGCTTTTTTCTCTATTCTTTATATTTTTTGCCATTTTTTCTCTATTCTTTATATTTTTTGCCATTTTTTCTCTATTCTTTATATTTTTTGCCTATTATTCTCCATTCTTTATACTTTAGCACCTCATTATTCTTTATGTTTTTTTTGGGGGGCTTTTTTTTCTCTATTTTTTATATTTTTTGCCCATTATTCTCTATTCTGTAACCCCCATCTATACACCCTCATATAAATAAAAGGAGATCAGGTCAGAGAAAAACATCCTTTTGTGTACAACAATTTCTTCTTACCATGGTAATTGTGTAAAACACAGTATTATCAACTTGTATAGTAAATAAATTTACTTTTAATGGGAAACATACTTTCCTTTATTTCGTATAAAAATTCAACAGTATGTATATGTATATATTTATTTTATATATATATAATAATAATAAAGTGGTTAAATATTGCAGTTCACATCATTTCATCTCCCTCTTCCACATCTTTCAAACTTATTACTTCTAGCTGTCCTTTGCCCTTTGTATCATGCCTCACAAGTTCATCTATTTCCCGAAAACAACCAGGGTCGACCAATATCACCTAAAAGTACAATACATTCAAAACAGTAGCAATAAATCATGTATGTCTGATTGATTTTGTGGTCATTAAACGTAGGTTTACTTGTCAAAAGAACACAGGGTGAACAATATTTTAGGCAATGCCAAGAGTATTACTCAAACAACCAACTTTCTTGTAAAATATATAGATTCTACCATTGTATCGAGTGTGATGCATTACTCCTCCACTGACAACCAATATCACCAGTAGCAATTAAACGTGTAGGTCTGATTTTGTGGTTATTAAACATAGGTTTACTATTCAAAATGATATGATTATTAGAAAGTGCTATATATAAATAAACTCATCATTGAAATTTTGTATTTGCGCCAGACGCCCGTTTCGTCTACAAAAGACTCATCAGTGATGCTTGAATAAAAAAAAGTTAAAATGGCCAAATGAAGTACGAAGTTGAAGAGCATTGAGGGGCAAAAATTCCTAAAAGTTTTGTCAAAAACAGCTTACGTAATCTATTCCTGAGGTAGAAAAGCCTTAGTATTTCAAACATTCAAAGTTTTGTAAACAGTTAATTTATAATTATGACCATATCAATGATAATTCATGTCAACACAGAAGTGCTGACTACTGGGCTGGTGATACCCTCGGGCAATAAAAACTCCACCAGCAGTGGCATCGACCCAGTGGTTGTAAATAAGCTCATGGTTTTACTTCTAAAATATTGGATTAATAGATAAGGAAAACAAACTTTTCTGTAATAAAGACATTACAAAATAACAATCTGAAAACTTACCATTTCTAAGTCACCATCAAAATCATCAGATTCTATTTTCTTTGCAATCTTTCTTATTTTCTCCCTTACTTTTTTTCCATCTTTAGCTGAAAGAATATTTGAATGATAATAGTTACTTTTTGGCACATATATGGTTGGATGTAATCCCCATTTGTGTTGGAGGTCAAAGCTGCTTTTCTGTTTTATGAAATGAGATATTGGTTACAAAAACATTTCTTTTACATTATTACATTTTTGCATTCGTCTAATTTCACCGATATGATTACAACAGTAACATTAACTAAGTGACAATTCAACAGGTCATGTTTTCTGGGACAAATCAGAAACAAAAGACTGCAAATGAGTGTCCTGATATATGTTTTGTAGTTCTATTTTACAGAAAATAATATAAGTAGATTTTATAAATTGATTTCTGTTCCAAAAAAATAATTTTGAAGCAGTGTGCCGGACCACAACATTGTACAGAATGCATGTCACCTGAGATAACCAAAAAGGCTCATTGACTAAACATCATATTTAAAATAGAAAGAACACAGGGCTAACAATATTTATGACAAGAGGCTCTCAAGAGCCTGAATCGCTCACCTGTATTTCAGAGGAGAAGATTTTTAAATGTTAGCAAACTTGATGAACAAATTGTGTAAAATTGTCTTTAAAGGGCAATAACTCCTTAAGGGGTCAATTGACAATTATGGTCATATTAACTTTTTTGTAGATCTTACTTTGCTGAACATTATTGCTGCTTACAGTTTATATATATCTATAAAAATATTCAAAATAATAACAAAAAACTGCAAAATTTTGTTAAAACTACCAATTCAGTGGCAGCAACCCAACAATGGGTTGTTCGATTCGTCTGAAAATTTCAGAGCTGATAGATCTTGACCAATTGAACAATTGTAATCAGTCAGATTTGCTCTAAAAGCTTTAGTTTTTGAGATATAAGCCAAAAACTGCATTTGACCCCTATGTTCTATTTTTAGCCATGGCGGCCATGTTTGTCAATGGATCATAACTTCGGATACAATTTATAAACTAGATACCCTAAGGAACATTTAGTTAAAGTTTGAAGGTATTTGGCCCAGTAGTTTCAGAGGAGAAGATTTTTTAAATAGTACGACCACAGACGACGACGACAGACGACGGACGCCAAGTGATGGCATAAGCTCAGATGGGGCCCTTCGGGCCCGGGTGAGCTAAAAATGCAAAGAGAACTATTAAAACAAGCAACTTTCTTGATATATAAGAATATGGTTGCCAGCTACCTGCTGCATTTAGTTTGATGCTTGTCACTGAGTAAAAGCAATCAACCAACCAACAGCTTTAAACAACAAAATACAATCGAACCTCATTAAGTCGAAGTCAAAAGGACCAGACAAAAGTAATCGACTTATCCAAGGTGGAGTGTGTCGTTATAAATTTAGAATGCATGAAATACGGTATGAGATTTGTGTAAACTAGATATTTTGAACAGTGTGCCTTTTTTTCAATAAGACAAATAATGATTTCCGTGTATTCAAACTCCATATTTTTTTGGTCCATCATTATAATTAAACACAGAAGTACAGATACAAAACATTAACAAATAAAATCAAGACACAAATATTTACAAAGGTCAGTCACTATAAATTATGGAAACGTTCGCAGAAGAAACAAGTCCTGAAGGATCACTGATGATGGTCGTCTGTTTTGAATTCAATTATTGTAAATTTGTCATAATCCTTTTAATTATTGTAATTAATGAATTTTATTTCAACAATTCATCTAATCTTGGCTTGGGTCATTTAAATTCCTTTTTATTTCAGGTGAAATATGTTCAGCACACTAAAGTTCCGTTTGGACGATCAACAAAGATGTTAATTACCGGTCACCATAAACATGTCAATTTAACTGTTAAACAAACAAGTATATTTACACAGCTTTAATTACTTATAAAAATGAGTAGGTTACATACGAAAAACATCTGATTTGAATTTTTATGTTTGTCTGCATTTTTTTAAATTTCTCACTTTCGAATTTCAAGCCATGGGGTTCAATTCACATTAATTTTACGATGAGGGGACAGTAAAATTTATTTTCAACTTAACTGAGAAATTGATTCAATCGAGTTCGAATCATCAGAAGTTGAAATGCATTGATCAAATGGGAAGTTCACCAGGACCAAGAAATTACTTTGACTAATCCCAGTTTTCGACACAACCAATTTTGACAAATGAAGTTTGACTGAACCATAAAACTAATCACACCAAATAACTAAAAACTTCATAATGTTAACAGCGGGAATTAATGATAATAAAAAAAAAAAGATACTTTAACTGCATACAAATGACTTTAAATTTCACCTGCATCAGGTAAATTCACTGGCAAAAGTTTAAAAAAAATTAGAACCAGAACTGTCATGATCCAGATCGAATTTGCCTTAGTTTTATAATCAAAACTTAAAAGTTTTATCGGTAGGTTACTACAAAACCATATCTTTTAAAGTCATGTTAATTTAGAGTAAATGACTACTAGCAAATGGTTTCCTCTGGGATAAACCGTTCACCAAGTAGGAGCATCAACCAACGGAAGTACCAGTACTTTAAAACAAGCATTCTTAAGTATTCCATGGCTATACATAGTCCCCTGCCGGTTAAAAACTCTTTGTATTGGAAAAAAATGCTAACTTGATCTATAACTAGTCATGGTGTAAGTATATTACAAATATCAAGTCAATATCTTCAAGCATGACGAAAAAAAAGTGTGGAAAACTGATTATTTGAGTGAATTTTGTAAGTCCAAGGACCATAAATATCTGTAACTTGTCATGATGAAGCTATATACCAAATATCAAATCAATATCTTCAAGCATGAAGAAAATAAAATGCTCCGCTGGGGCGCAGCTTGATACGATCGCAGAGGTCGAACCCTGAACAGTTGGGGCAAGTATGGAAACAACATTCAAGCTTGATACAGCACTGAATTTGGATTGTGATTAAATATTTGACACAGCATAGGTTTCTGACACAGAATGAATGTGGTCTAAGAACTTAAAAAATTTTGATTTACCTATTCAAACCATATAATTATTATTTGCTTTTATATATAAATCAGAAATAACAAATTTAAAATGGAAAATTTTAAAGAAAAAAAAGGAAAAAAGGAAAAAATTATCCCTCCCCAAAATTTTTTGAACCCCCTTATCATTCATCACTCCCAAACTCAATCCCAGCCTTCCCTTTGTGGTATGGTACCTTGCAGTACAATTTCAGAGATATCCATACACTTGAACACAAGTTATTGTCTGGAAATTAGAAGAATGCTTGTTTTTTGGCCCCTTTTTGGCACCAAATTCCTAAACGTTTAGGGCAATTACCCCCAAACTCAAACCTAGCTTTCCCTTTGTGATATGGAACCTTGCAGTACAATTTCATAAAGATCCATACACTTACACACAAGTTATTGTCCTGAAACTACAAAAATGCTTGGTTTTTTTGCCCTTTTATGGCCCCTAATTCCTAAAATTTTGAGGCAATTACCCCCAAAATCAATCCCAGCCTTCCCTTTGTGGTATGGTACCTTGCAGTACAATTTCAGAGAGATCCATACACTTGAACACAAGTTATTGTCTGGAAACTAGAAAAATGCTTATTTTTGGCCCCTTTTTGGCCCCTTCTTCCTAAGCTTTTTGGTCAATTACTCCCAAACTCAATTCCAGCTTTCCCTTTTTGATATGGAACCTTGTAGTACAATTTCATAAAGATCCATACACTTACACACAAGTTATTGTCATGAAACTAGAAAAATGCTTGTTTTTTGCCCCTTTTTGGCCCCTAATTCCTAAAATTTGGAGGCAATTACCCCCAAAATCAATACCAGCATTCCCTTTGTGATATGGAACCTTGTGATACAATGTCAGAGAGATCCATACACTAACACACAAGTTATTGTCATGAAACTAGAAAAATGCTTGTTTTTTGCCCCTTTTTGGCCCCTAATTCCTAAAATTTGGAGGCAATTACCCCCAAAATCAATCCCAGCATTCCCTTTGTGATATGGAACCTTGTGGTACAATGTCAGAGAGATCCATACACTTACACACAAGTTATGTCTGGAAGTTACAAAAATGCTTATTTTTGGCCCCTTTTTGGCCCCTAATTCCTTAACTGTTGGTAACATAACAGGGCTTCCAAAACGGTCATATATTCCGGACTTGACCGAAAATTACATAAAAAGTCCGGCTGCTCTCAGCCTCAAACGGTCAAATAGAATTAGTTTGCCACTTTTTTGTTATTCAAGGCATTTTTATAAAACGGTCATTTCAATTTTTACCAACTATCGATCGATAAAAATGTCCGTTTGGCGCTTTGGGCATGTCCGTTTGAGCATTTTAGTTTATAATTGTGGCAATCTATTTCACAAAGATATTTTGGTCATAATTGGGTTTAATAAAACAGATGCAGCATATTTCAGATACTTTGAAGTGTCTCAGTTAGTCTAATCCTTTGGGTACATAAATGTACCGCTTGGTCTTTAGCTTGTGTACATCAATAAAAAGTAGATAAAACACGTTTTCTTTTATTTAAATAACAACAAGCTGTCAAACAATTATCCCTTCAATAAGTTTTATTGAAGTCATAAATCATTCACTGATTACAGGTTTGTAACCTTTGATGAGGTGTCCTTAGCTTGTCTTTATCAATAGAATTAATGATGCATAACACTGTACATAAAGGTGATCAGGTAAACGAGGTCAAACATGTAAGCATGTATGGAATTACGCTTTATAGATATTATTTTAAATGAGCATTCAGTTTAAAAAAGTATCCTGATATTTAAAAGTTATTCTTCAAATAAGGATATTTATAAATGAATAAGTATGATATATATTATTTTATTTAACACTGTACATCGTGTTAAATACTGGGGTACTCTGAAGGGGAAAATTTATTGAAATATATAGGAAAAACACCGAAAATAGCTGAGTTGTCCAATAAATCTAAATTACATCAAGAGAACAATGCCTGCTCCGAATTTATTCAGACAATTTCCGATATTATAGAGAAAGAGGTGATGTCCGACGTAAAGTTAAGTCCCGCCGTGGGAATTATGATCGACAAGTCAACTGATCTGGCTACGCAAAAACATTTAATTTTGTACTTATCATACCTCAAAGCTGGTGAACTGAAAATTAGTTTTTAAAAATTATTTATCAACTGAGTATGTTTTTATTTATTCTTCTTATTTTCTAAACCAGATTGGGAAATTGTACAAAGAAAAATGTTATTACTGTTCAGTAGATTTTACACGGTTTAAAACAATATCCTTCATTGGGCCTCCTCAATGTTATCTATAAATACCGCATCAGTTGTAAAAGTCACGTGGTCAGGTAATCAATACACAAAAAGAAAAAAGTATCACGTGTATTGATGATCAAGTTGTACTGCAATTAAAGCCAGTTTCAAATAAGATACCCTTAATTTACAAAGTGTTAAGTACTCACAGAGAGAAGATAGATTATATAAACAGAAACAAAAACATGAGAACAGTCAGGTACTGAAGCTGATTGATGCAATGATGGTTACTGTATTACGATACACAGAAAAATGACACAATACCGAGGATAATATTTTATTTATTTTTAGAATGAAGAAAACAAAACAGTTATAAATAATTTTATTGCATATAACACTACTAATTATTTAGACACATATATCAATTTATGCATCCTCTCAGTTACATTTAAGTATCCAGCTGATCATTGACCGTCAAAAATATTTCTTTGAAAAATGTCCGGCTGTCGTCAGGAAATTTTGGAAGCCCTGTAACATAACCCCCAAAATCAATCCCCTCTATTCTTTTGTGGTATTGAACCTTATGGTAAAAATTTCATTGAGATCCATTCACTTAAACTAAAGTTAGAGTGCGAAAAACTAATGAGTCTTCGGACGCCAACGTCATACCAATATACGACCACAAAATTTTTTTTTGCGGTTGTATAAAAAGTGTGGAAAACTGTATTAGCCGGACTGATGGATGGATGGACAGACAGACAGATGGTCGGAGTGCAAACCTAAAGTCCCCTTCAACTTCGTCGGTAGGGGACTAATATGGTATAATACCAATTTCTTTGTGCACAACACATGTTTCTGGAATAACTAAAGTACATCAATTCCAAACTCTAAAAAGATATCCTGGTACAGACAAGTAAATTATTTTATTATGGATTACATGCATGCTTCTCCACTTAGAGTGGCATCTTTAGGACAATATAAAACAAGTGAAACTGTGAGCTACTGCTCACTGATGATACCCCCACCCAAATATTTCGGTGAACAGGAAGTTGTTGAGTGATAAATCTGAAAACGCATCACATGGTATGGCTGACTCATATTAACCCTGAAACCAAATTTCAGAAATCCTTGTAATGTAGTTCCTGAGAAAAATGTGACGAAAATTTTCAACTTGGATGTCATGTGTAAAATGATGTAAGTGTTCGGTAAACAGGAAGCTGTTGTGTGATGAATCTGAAAATGCATCACACGGTATAGCTGACTTATATAAACACTGAAATAAAATTTCAGAAATCCTTATGATGTAGTTCCTGAGAAAGATGTGACGAAAAATATTCATGGGACGGATGGACGGAATGACGGACGGACAGATGAATGGACAGACAGAGGTAAAACAGTATACCCCCACTTTTTTCAAGCGGGGTATAATTAGGAAACAAACACTGAAGTACATAAAATGATGTTCAAGTTGGGTTATAGAAAAGTTAAATAACAGGAAGTGACGTCATAATTATTGGTATGATGACGTTAAGAAGATAGTGATTGTAAAAGTTAATAATAAATTGTTAGTTTCAATTCCCAAATGGACAACAACTCACTGGAAATTCCATTTCATTTCAAATGTCTTCACTCTGAATGAGGTACTGCTTCCAATTGCATCCAGAATATTGTGAGATACATTGTCATTGCACATGTTGGGAATAGTGGAAATTGTGGTTAATCTATTGAAATTTGAATTTTTGGTACAATATCTGTATTTTCAAGTTCAAGTATGTAGTGTGGTTTTTGTAATTCATTCTGTTTCTGATCCTCTTCTTTGATTCTTGTGTGTGGTAACCTTTTCTTTTTTCTTGAAAGGATCAGCAATTTTGGAAGTGGTCTATGTTGTTATTCATGAGCTGTGGTGGTATAGAACAATGCTCATTTGGCAAAGGTGGGTCGTGTAGATTTATGATGTTTTAAGACAACCGCAGCATACTTTTATATTCATCCTTATTAGTCTTCCTGCTTGTACTGGCAGAAGATTTTGGTTCACTTGACTTATTTATTATTTTTTAGTTTTTGTTTGTTAACCCCTGCATCCACATACAATCCACCTTTGCCAAAAGAGCATTGTATAATACAAACACATGCATGGATAACATCACAGACCACAGGTGACCACTCTAAGTGGTGAAACATGTTGACCACAATAAAATAATTTCCTTGCCGTAACAAAGATGTCTTTTTATAGTATGGATTTATTAGGTTTTAAGACAACCACAGCATACTTCAGTATCCATCATGATTACTCTACCAGCTTGAACCAGAAAGTGTTGATTCACTTGACTTATAAAAGTACTTCAAAATGTAAAACTACCAAAAAAGAATAGCCAAATTGTCAAAGGTCAAACTTGAATACCTGAAATAGTTGCAACCTTAGGTTTGGATCAATAAACAAGTAACAAGTTCATCAACTGAAAATTTACAATCAAAATATACTGTGGATTCAAGAACTTCAGTAAAAAATTCTATAAAAATGAATTTCAGCAAAGATATAAAGAAATATATGACAATAAAATATCATCTCTCGACCAAAATAGCAAACTCCTTCTGTTTAAGCATATAAAAGCTGAATATAAACAAGAATTTTATTTGACATACCCTAATCTTGATACAAGAAAACTTATATGCAAATTTAGAATAAGTGATCATTCCCTCACTATTGAAACTGGAAGATATAAAAATATTCCACGCCCTCAAAGACTTTGTAATAAGTGCAAAGTTCTGGATGATGAATCACATTTCTTTTTAATATGTAAAATAAATGATGATTTAAGACATGTCTTTTTTAATGATTTAAAAACTCAATACAAAGATTTTTCTGATAATAAAATGAAATATATACTAAATCCAACCACTAGTCAGCAAGTGAAATCTTAAGGCTCCTTTATTAAACAGTCTATGGAACTGAGGACAGGGGGCACTTGAGGTCATTTGTTGTGTTTAATGTTTTGGTTTATTTTTATTTTTTATGTACATTTAATGTCATCATTATATTGTTGTTATTACATGTAATTGTCATGCCTTTGGCCCTCTTGTGGGTGTAATTTGTGCTTTAATAAATTGTAGAATAATTATTCGTTGGATACCAATTTTCGTTGATTTCATGGGTACATGGAAACCACGAATTTAAATGTTCAACGAATTGCAAATTTTCTATAGGTTTGTATGCAGACTTTTGAAAAACCACAAAATCAAGTATCCACGAAAATACAGGCATTCCTCAATCCACGAAAAATTGGTACCCACGAAAATAAATTAATCCACAGTATCATTTCAATAATGTCATTGCTACAGCACTAATGTCACTTGGCACAAGTTATTTTTGATTTTATTCAAGTCCTATATACTTGTAATTGAGCTAGGTATAAATCCTTTTGCTTTTTTAAATAATCTTTTTACAATTTAAGTGTTCAGAAACACATTCAATTTATATCAGACTGCCTGAAGGTCTTCAGCGTCTTCTGTCAACCTCATTATTTCACACAAATTGCTGTAAATCAGATTTTTTTTTTTAAATTCAGAATTACCTGGCACTGTAATTTTCAGCCTCATGAAAGCTTTCTGTATTTTTATGGTTTCAGTTTCTGTTAATTGCTTAATGACTTCTAATGCCTGAAAAGACAAATAACAAAAACTGTAAAAAGTACAAATATAAAGCAAAAATTGGATGTCACTAAAGATAACTGACATAGTTCCCTAAGAATTTAAAGATGTCCTTATCATGATTTTGACACAATCATTGGACAATGAGTCAATATGTTTTAGACCTAGGCATGTGGACTAACAGAAATTTTGTTTCCTGTGTTCATCAATTTCATTTTCAAATGTTCAAAAAGTCCTTTTAATTCATTTATGAATAAAAGAAGAATATGTCTAAGGAGATTTTGCAATTTTCCAAGTTAAAAAGGGGCATAACTCCAGAACGGTAAGTGACTCATTGCCCAAATTTGAACTCTGCTGCAAGTTTTGGTTCTTAGCATTAATATGAGTTTCATAAAAATTTGCATGAGGCAAACTAAAGTTAGAGTGTGGAAACAAAAATGGGTTGGACAGACAGAAGGACAGAAAGATGGATGGATGGAAAGAAGGACGGTCAAGGGTAACACTTAATGCCCTTGCAAGGTACCTCAGCAGGAGACTCTCCCAAAACTTGTTTGATTTTCAAATGCATTAATTTAAATACTTAAATATTTAATCAGATGTCTTTCAATTTTCTATACATATATATATACCTGTTGTTTTGTACTTTTGGTGGGTTTGACTGAGAAATGTAAATCTTTCATTGCACCTTCTATCAGTGTGACTGTATATGGGCGATTTGTGTCAGGGTTTACACATTTATCTGCTACAGTTGTAGCAATGTCTCTAAACATTGATTCTAACTGGGCATGCCTTTCTTTTTCAGATACTTGTAACTCCCCTTTTGCTAAAATCTGAAATAAAACATTGTTGGTATTATTTTAAAGTACATTATATAGTTAGATGTGTTGGGTTGTTTTTAAAGCAAATGAGTCAAAAATCTTCTATAGCCCTGACAACAACAACTAACATGAGAAAGTTCAGCTCTTATTCACCTTCATAACTTTATGCTAATTTATCTTCCCTTCAATGTGTCTGAAAGATGTATTCTACAACAGTAATACATTTGTATCAAAAATAACAAGCATTCTGTGAGTATTGCCTGGCAATACATAGTCCCCTACCAGTTAAAAATTCATTGTACTGGAACAAAATGCTAACTTGATCTATAACTTGTCATGGTGTAAACTATATTACAAATATCAAGCCAATATCTTCAAGCATGACGAAAAAAAATGCAGAAAATTGATTATTTGAGTGAATTTTCTAAGTTTAAGGACCATAACTCTGCAAACAAGGGTATACCATAATACGTCCCGTAAACGGGCGTATAAAAATCATCAGACCAGAATAAAATTAGAACTTGATCTGTAACTTGTCATGATTAGACAATACACAAAATATCAATTCAATATCTTCAAGCACGAAGAAAAAAAGTGTGAAAAACTGATTTGCCGGACTGAGATGGACAGACAGACGGACCGAGTGCAAACCTAAAGTCCTCTTCGACTTCGTCTGTAGGGGACTAAAAATAAGATGATTTGGTATGATTGCCAATGAGACAACTCTCCACCAAAGACCAAATGACGTAGAAGTATAAAGCAAAGGTCATTTAAACATAGCAACCACACAATAAATAACTTTTCTTTGATGGGTTTGCTTTTCTTTGTTATATACATGTAGACTTTTTTTTATATTTTTTCAATAATAGCACATATTTTATGTATTTGGAATCCAAGACTTTTTTTAGCACACATGACGATTATTCTACGAACATGTGTTGTATGCATGTATGCACTTAACTAAGTATTAAATAATTATAAAGCCATATATTGTCTTTCGATTGTAATTGTCTCAAGTCTAAAGTACAACTGTAATTTACACCAAATGTGTCATTCCATGTATTTCATTTTTTTTAATTTGAATAGAAATAAGAAGATGTGGTATGAGTGCCAATGAGACAAATCTCCATCCAAGTCACAATGTGTAAAAAGTAAACAATTATAGGTCAAAGTACGGAACCTTGGCTCACACCCAACAGCAAGCTATAAAAGGCCCCAAAATGACTAGTGTAAAACAATTCAAACAGGAAAACCAACGGTCTAATCTATATAAAAAACGAGAAACGAGAAACACTTAAGAACCACATCAACAAACGACAACCACTGAAACAGGTTCCTGACTTAGGACAGGTGCAAACAAATGCAGCAGGTTTAAATGTTTTAAGAGTTTATTTTAGAAAGCACATTATTTCTGTAAAAGAAAAAGAAAAATTAAGGGTTTTTACCTAATTTTGCAGTTCACCAAACAAGGAAATGTAATAATGATGTATCCGTACATTGAAAGATCAAGTTTTGGTTAAAGGTAGTTTACAATGCAGTCATGGTTACATCGTTTGAAATTTATATAGAAATATGAAGATGAGGTATGAGTGCCAATGAGACAATTCTCCATCCAAGTCACAATGGGTAAAAAGTAAAAAATTATAGGTCAAAGTACGGCCTACAACACAGAGCCTTGGCTCACACACCGAACAGCAAAATATAAAGGGCCCCACAATGACAAGTGTAAATAATTCAAACAGGAAAATCAACGGTCTAATCTATATAAATGAAATGCTTCGCTGGGCGTAGCCTGATACGACGGCAGAGGTCGAACCCTGAACAGTTGGGGCAAGTATGGACACAACATTCAAGCTTGATACAGCACTGAATTTGGATTGTGATTAAATATTTGACACAGCATAGGTTTCTGACACAGAATGAATGTGGTCTAAGAACTTAAAAAATTTTGATTTACCTATTCAAACCATATAATTATTATTTGCTTTTATATATAAATCAGAAATAACAAATTTAAAATGGAAAATTTTAAAGAAAAAAAAGGAAAAAATGAAAAAATTATCCCTCCCCCAAATTTTTGGAACCCCCTTATCATTCATCACTCCCAAACTCAATCCCAGCCTTCCCTTTGTGGTATGGTACCTTGCAGTACAATTTCAGAGAGATCCATACACTTGAACACAAGTTATTGTCTGGAAACAAAAAAATGTTTGTTTTTAGGCCCCTTTTTGGCCCCAAATTCCTAAACGTTTAAGGCAATTATCCCCAAACTCAAACCCAGCTTTCCCTTTGTGATATGGAAGCTTGTAGTACAATTTCAGAGAGATCCATACACTAACACACAAGTTATTGTCCTGAAACTAGAACGGTTGTATAAAAATGCTTGTTTTTTGCCCCTTTTTGGCCCCTAATTCCTAAAATTATGAGGCAATTACCCCCAAAATCAATCCCAGCCTTTCCTTTGTGGTATGGTACCTTGCAGTACAATTTCAGAGAGATCCATACACTTGAACACAAGTTATTGTCTGGAAACTAGAAAAATGCTTATTTTTGGCCCCTTTATGGCCCCTTATTCCTAAACGTTTTGGGCAATTACCCCTAAACTCAATTCCAGCTTTCCCTTTGTGATATGGAACCTTGTAGTACAATTTCATAAAGATCCATACACTTACACACAAGTTATTGTCATAAAACTAGAATAAAATGCTCCGCAGGGCGCAGCTTGATACGATCGCAGAGGTCGAACCCTGAACAGTTGGGGCAAGTATGGACACAACATTCAAGCTTGATACAGCTCTGAATTTGGATTGTGATTAAATATTTGACACAGCATAGGTTTCTGACACAGAATGAATGTGGTCTAAGAACTTAAAAATTTTAAATTGGACATTCAACTATTATGGTCCAATATCCAAAATCTAAATACATGGTTAGATTCAGCATATCAAAGAACCCCAAGAATTCAATTTTTGATGAAATCAAACAAAGTTTAATTTTGGACCCTTTTGACCTCAATGTGGACAAAGTTGATAATGGGGCCCAAAAATCAAAAATCTAAATACATGGTTAGATTCAGCATATCAAATTTAAAGAACCCCATATATTCAATTTTTGTTGAAATCAAACAAATGTTAATTTTGGACCCCGATTTGGACCAACTTGAAAACTGGGCCCATAATCAAAAATCTAAATACATGTTTAGATTCAGCATATCAAAGAACCCTAAGAATTCAATTTTTGTTAAAATCAAACTAAGTTTAATTTTGGACCCTTTGGACCTTAATGTAGACCAATTTGAAAACAGAACCAAAAATTAAGAATCTAAATACACGGTTAGATTCGGCATATCAAAGAACCCCAATAATTCAATTTTTGATGAAATCAAACAAAGTTTAATTTTGGAGCCTTTGGACCTCAATGTGGACCAATTTAAAAATGGGGCCCAAAATCCAAAAACTTAATACACGGTTAGAATCAGCATATTAAAGAACCCCAAGAATTCAAGAATAAAACCCCATTGAAATTGGTCAAGAAATAAGCAATTTATACGAAGTACAAAAAAAATGTATCTTCTTTTGCACAATACTGTGCAATTGAATATTTCTTGCTATTGCGCAATACTGTACAATTGACAATTTCTTGCTATTGCGCAATATTGTGCTATTGGATATTTCTTGCTATTGCACAATGCTGTGCAATTGAAGATTTCTTGCTATTGCGCAATACTGTGCAATTGAAGATTTCTTGCTATTATGCAATACTGTGCGATTGAAAATTTCTTGCTATTGCACAATACTTATTTTATAATAATTTACACATCCTGTTTGGTGTGTATCTCCTACCATATCATTATTATTTGCTTTTAAATATAAAACAGAAATAACCAACTTAAAATGGAAAACTTTTAAAAGAAAAATAAAAAGGAAAAAAAGAAAAAAAAGGAAAAAAAAAAAAATCCCCCCCCCAAATTTTTTGAACCCCCTTATGATTCATCACCCCCAAACTCAATCCCAGCCTTCCCTTTGTGGTATGGTACCTTGCAGTACAATTTCAGAGAGATCCATACACTTGAACACAAGTTATTGTCTGGAAACTAGAAAAATGCTTATTTTTGGCCCCTTATTCCTTAACGTTTTGGGCAATTACCCCCAAACTCAATTCCAGCTTTCCCTTTGTGATATGGAACCTTGTAGTACAATTTCAGAAAGATCCATACACTTACACACAAGTTATTATCTTGAAACTAGAAAAATGCTTGTTTTTTGCCCCTTTTTGGGCCCCTAATTCCTAATATTTTGAGGCAATTACCCCCAAAATCAATCCCAGCATTCCCTGTGTGATATGGAACCTTGTGGTACAATTTCAGAGAGATCCATACACTTGAACACAAGTTATTGTCTGGAAACTGGAAAAATGCTTATTTTTGGCCCCTTTTTGGCCCCTTATTCCTAAACGTTTGGGCAATTACCCCCAAACTCATTTCCAGCTTTCCCTTTGTGATATGGAACCTTGTAGTACAATTTCATAAAGATCCATACACTTACACACAAGTTATTGTCATGAAACTAAAAAAATGCTTGTTTTTTGGCCCCTAATTCCTAATATTTTGAGGCAATTACCCCCAAAATTAATCCCAGCATTCCCTGTGTGATATGGAACCTTGTGGTACAATGTCAGAGAGATCCATACACTAACACACAAGTTATGTTTGGAAGTTACAAAAATGCTTATTTTTGGCCCCTTTTTGGCCCCTAATTCCTTAACTGTTGGTACCATAACCCCCAAAATCAATCCCAACCTTCCTTTTGTGGTATTGAACCTTATGGTAAAATTTCATAGAGATCCATTCACTTAAACTAAAGTTAGAGTGCGAAAACCAATGTGTCTTCGGACGACGCCAGACGACGACGACGACGCCAACGTCATACCAATATACGACATTTTGCGGTCGTATAAAAATGCTTGTTTTTTGCCCTTTTATGCCCCTAATTCCTAAAATTTTGAGGCAATTACCCCCAAAATCAATCCCAGCATTCCCTTTGTGATATGGAACCTTGTGGTACAATGTCAGAGAGATCCATACACTAACACACAAGTTATGTCTGGAAGTTACAAAAATGCTTATTTTTGGCCCCTAATTCCTTAACTTTTGGTACGATAACCCCCAAAATCAATCCCAACCTTCCTTTTGTGGTATTGAACCTTATGGTAAAATTTCATAGAGATTCACTTAAACTAAAGTTAGAGTGTGAAAACTAATGTGTCTTCGGAAGACGACGACGCCAATGTCATACCAATATATACAACCGCAAAATTTTTTTGCGGTCGTATAAAAACGAGAAACACTTATACTTAGTACACATGTTCATTATGATTTGAACTAACTAAAATATATACCAAAATAAGGTTTTGACCCAGAGCGTGGCATGGTGTCCAAGAGACAAAATTATTCTTGTTTAATCTCTAATTGTAAATATTATAGTTTTTCTGCCCTTAGCATTGCTGATGAAGGTTAATCAGAAGTGTGTATTTCAAATTGGTTGTTTCTACAGTTAGTACCTGTAAGCATATTTCTGGTTGGTTATCATTACTGAAAGCTTTCTTCAGTATATCAGACTTTGCAACTTCTCCTTTAGAAACATTAGTGAACACTGTATGGGTCTGTAAAACTTCATCAATGTCTGTTTCACTAGAAGTAAAATATGTATTTTTGAAGTCATATGTATATTTTCATTTTTTCCAATTACATATTTTATAATTAGGCAATAAATTGTGTGTTTTCACACTCATTTACATTTGCTTGTCATTTTGTACTCTTTTCAACAGCTCAGAAAATTGTGTGATCTTTGTTAGAATAAATAAAGACTCTTTTATTCACTTTATCCAATAAAAAAATGAGTTATCCTTCTTGAGTAAAAGTAAGTATGCAAAAAAATATAATAGAATTCCACAGATTAAAAATAGACAAAAAAGATCAAATTGTGAAGACTTTCATTATATTGTTTTATAAATATATTAAGTAGTCAATGTTTTATTTATGAAATTCAATATACAATGTTTACTTGAATCATAGATCAAATTTATTCGTTCAGTGTACATGGTGTATGTTCACTTGTTTTTGTTAATATGTCTTTTGATTGAGTTAAGCTATTTCAATTGATATTCTATATTGTGTCTTTCTATGTTGTGATGTTACACTATTGTTTCAGGTAGGGTGAAGGTTGGTGCCTATTAAAACGTTTAAATCCGCTGCATTTGTTTGCACCTGTTCTAAGTCAGGAACCTGATGTTCAGTGGTTGTCGCTAGTTGATGTGGTTCATAAATGTTTCTCGTTTTTTATATAGATTAGATCATTGGTTTTCCTGTTTGAATGGTTTTACACTAGTCATTTTTTGGAGCCCTTTATAGCTTGCTGTTCAGTGTGAGCCAAGGCTCTGGTTGAAGGCCGTACTTTGACCTATAATGGTTTACTTTTACAAATTGTGACTTGGATGGAGAGTTGTCTCATTGGCACTCATACCACATCTTCTTATATCTATTGAAGTTGCTTGAATTATAAGTTAACTATGTAGTTAAACTGAACATAAAATTGACTAGAACATTTACCCCTTTTCATGTTGGCCCTTCGAGGTCCATTCTCACCCTACTCATTCGTACCCTTTTGAAGGTTTTGCATTTAATAATTTTTTAATCATGTTTTAGTTTGTATATAGCTATAAAATAAAGATATAAAATAAAGATAATAAGGTTTTTTTATTGTTGTAAAATAAAGTGACACTCTAAAAACGTACACAGGTTTCTTTAAGTGTTTTGTGAAAGGATTAATGAATATTGTCATGATGATCAAGTCCAAGTTCATTCATAATATTAAGACTTTTGTAAAAGGAAGGCAGAAGAAAAGCTATCAAACTCGTCACAATGACATTGCCACGGCAACAACGAAAAACATTAAAACCTGGCCACAAAGCTCATATTTATAATGTGTTGTATTCCAGCTACTATATATAAAGTTCCTACAGAGTATTTATTTCCATGTGTAAAGAAGCTTTAAGTTACCAACATATATATGTACATGTACATGTACATCACAGTAATCTTATGACTCTTAATTGGTGTTTTAGGTAACAACATATTGTCAACTTGATTAAAATCCCGATAAAATCAAACTGGTGTGCTCATATGAGCATAACAAAATCAGACATCTACATGTATACTATAATTAGATTGAATTTATTGTGTATGACTTTTCAAGTCTAAAACTGTAATGTTTTTAATGCTTACTTTTAAATATCTATATGATTTATTTTTATTCATTATGATATCATACAACAGTTATTCAAATTTATTAAGTATTGCCTTACAATGTAAAATAAGAGACTGTAACTGAGATGAAGATAGAAATTGCTTATATGCTTATATTCCTATAGCCTTATTCATGTAAACTTATATAATAAAATGCTTCGCTGGGGCGCAGCTTGATACGACCGCAGAGGTCGAACCCTGAACAGTTGGGGCAAGTATGGACACAACATTCAAGCTTGATACAGCTCTGAATTTGGATTGTTATTAAATATTTGACACAGCATAGGTTTCTGACACAGAAAGAATGTGGTCTAAGAACTTGAATTTTTTTAATTTACCTATTACGGTCCAATGTCCAAAATCAAAATACATGGTTAGATTCAGCATATCAAAGAACCCCATATATTCAATTTTTGTTAAAATCAAACAAAGTTTAATTTTGGACCCCAACTTGGACAAACTTGAAAACTGGGCCCATAATCAAAAATCTAAACATATGTTTAGATTCAGCATATCAAAGAACCCCAAGAAATCAATTTTTGCTAAAATCAAACTAAGTTTAATTTTGGACCCTTTAGACCTTAATGTAGACCAATTTAAAAAACAGGACTTAAAATTAAAAATCTAAATACACGGTTAGATTTGGAATATCAAAGAGCCCCAATAATTCAATTTTTGATGAAATCAAACAAAGTTTAATTTTGGACCCTTTTGACCTCAATATGAACCAATTTGATAGCGGGGCCCACAAATAAAAAATCTAAATTCATGGTTAGATTCAGCATATCAAAGAACCCCATATATTCAATTTTTGTTGAAATCAAAAAAAGTTTAATTTTGGACCCCAACTTGGACCAACTTGAAAACTGGGCCCATAATCAAAAATCTAAACACATGTTTAGATTCAGCATATCAAAGAACCCCAAGAATTCAATTTTTGTTAAAATCAAACTAAGTTTAATTTTGGACCCTTTGGACCTCAATGAAGACCAACTTAAAAAACGGGACCCAAATTAAACATCTAAAAACACGGTTAGATTTGGCATATCAAAGAACCCCAATAATTCAATTTTTGATGAAATCAAACAAAGTTTAATTTTGGACCCTTTTGACCTCAATATGAACAAATTTGATAGCGTGGCCTACAAATAAAAAATCTAAATACATGGTTAGATTCAGCATATCAAAGAACCTCATATATTCAATTTTTGTTGAAATCAAACAAAGTTTAATTTTGGACCCCAATTTGGACCAACTTGAAAACTGGGCCCATAATCAAAAATCTAAATACATGTTTAGATTCAGCATATCAAAGAACCCCAACAAATCAATTTTTGCTAAAATCAAACTAAGTTTAATTTTGGACCCTTTAGACCTTAATGTAGACCAATTTAAAAAACAGGACTTAAAATTAAAAATCTAAATACACGGTTAGATTTGGAATATCAAAGAGCCCCAATAATTCAATTTTAGATGGACCCTTTTGACCTCAATATGAACCAATTTGATAACGGGGTCCACAAATAAAAAATCTAAATACATGGTTAGATTCAGCATATCAAAGAACCCCATATATTCAATTTTTGTTGAAATCAAACAAAGTTTAATTTTGGACCCCAATTTGGACCAACTTGAAAACTGGGCCAAAAATCAAAAATCTAAATACATGTTTAGATTCAGCATATCAAAGAACCTCATATATTCAATTTTTGCTAAAATCAAACAAAGTTTAATTTTGGACCCTTTGGACCTTAATGTACAGAGCTCCAGATAAGAATTCACAAATTGGGGTTTTTACCCACCATTTTTTTATGTAATTGGGTGATAAAGTTTTTTAATTGCATTATCAATTTCAATTCACCCCTCAAGCAAATATCAAATTGGGTTTTTCACCACCAAGCTCCTTAATGTATTGGGTTTTTTAATCAACACAATATTGAATATTTAGGCATGTTATAATCACATTATATCAACCCCAGATGTGTTTCCATCTTAAATGTGTTTCTTTCTTTGTAGAATATGTGCTAGCTGTTTTATTTGGTTTATTCACTGACGAGCAATTGTACATTTAATTTGTGTCCCGTTTTAAACGTTCTGTCAGTTTTGTATTTTCTCAAAACTTATGTAAACTGCAGCTGGTGTCACTAGTTGGACAGGAACTAATAGCCTTTCTAGATCCCATATGATCACCCTACAGTTTAATTATAGTTGGGGTAGGTGTGGCTAAGTGTTTAGATTTTTGTGTAATATATGTGAAATTTAGGTGCTGTAAGAAAGTTTTGCCAGTCCTTTCACCTATTTGCCAGATCTACTTTTTAATAAAAATAAAAAGTAGTTTCCAGATTTAAGATATACCCCCAAAACCTTGAGGTTTATAGGGTAGGGTGGTTTATAATGACGGAGACCACATTCAACTTAAATTTACAAATAATTCTGCAACATCAAGTAAATAAATGACAATGTTATACTGCACTTGCCAATAAGACAACTATCTTAAGCATCTAGAACAATTAGACCATAAACAAAGAAAGTGTCAAGCTGCATTGACGTAAAAAACGGATATGTGTATTCACTCATCAACTAAAATGAAAAAAATAATATATAAACTGTTTTCGTTTAATTCAATTTACATAAATCTGGGTTAAGTTGTCCCTTATCAGAACTTTTGGTTTCCGATGCTTTCAAACTACATAGCATGTCATAATTGATTTGGCCTTTCACTTTTTCCAACTGATTTCGTTTTTGACGGAACCCCGTGTTTATCGCTCTAGCAATGTTCTCGTTATGGTACGCAAACACGCCCGTGCGTTCAATGACCGCTTCCTAAAATCACTAGCTGAGTCTTGTAATAATCATAACTTTCCCTCAGCTATCAAAAAGAAGCCGAAAACATGCTTCTATTCAATTTTTTTACCGGACATTTACTTTCGTTTTAATTCATTGTATGTTATGATAAATCCCGAGCAATTCGAAAAAATATGACAGCATGTCACACGCTAATTGGATAAACACAGAGAAGATCGAAATGTTTTCATAAACACGTGTACCTTTTGAGCAACGGAAAATTCCAACAGGGACCCATTACAGCTACTTGATGCAGGGCTCTATTTTTAGAACGAAAGGACATTTCCAATTATAAATATTATAAAAATAGATTTACGCGACGACTGTAATCAAGTAAGGGTAAATAACGCAAACGATAGCGAATAAAAGCGTTAAGAACCCAATTTTTTGGCATATAATTGGGTTTTCCTTTGAATTAATTGGGTTATTGAACCCTGCAATGGGCAATTGCATTGGGTTTTTAATTATTTTTATTGCGTGATCACGCAAATACGCAGCTTATCTGGAGCTCTGATGTAGACTATTTTGAAAACTGGACCCAA